AGCCGTTGCAAATCAACCACTGGAATGCCCGCACGCCAGCGACATCGCGAATCGTTGGCAGTCGTTCGAGCGAATGGCAACAAACTACGAGCCTACTAACGCCGTTTCCGGCCTGCAGTCTCCCGCTCCTAAGCCCGCCCTCCCCCGCAGCTTTCGTCATAAAGCCACGAGCCGGGTGTCAGGTCCGGACGTGAATGAGTTGGCCGTTGGGACATCACCTGATTCACCCGCAATTCACAGCCAGCAGCAGCAGAATCAGAATCGTCCTCAACAAAATGTTCTTAATCAGCAGATTCAGCAGCTTTGTCAGCAGAAGCACAGCCAGAAAACTATCGTTCCGCCAGTGGAGATGACTGGAGGAGGTGACGAGTCGCCCGACCATTGGGATTACAGCGAGAGAGACGACGCTGCTACGACTCATAATGATGGAATTGCGAAGACCTGCGCGCACTGTGGCACGTCTAAAACGCCTCTCTGGAGAAACGGCCCTCCCGGACCCAGGGTAATCACGTCATCCCTTCTTTCTTGCTAACTTGTCAGTTTCCATGCATTTTTTGTCGACAATGGCGTCATCCTATTGCGGTCGTGGATTGTGCTAATTTTTGCTCCTCTTTCTCCCACTCTCCTTGGCTGCAGTCACTGTGCAATGCGTGTGGAATTCGGTTCAACAAAATCCGCAGCGGCAAGCGCAAGGCCTCCCCCCAAGAAGTGGCGATGCTGCGGGAATACGAGACCGTCAACCCGGCTTTCTCCAAGCCTCTGCCCCAGTCACCCGTGCAGAAAGCACGAACCAAGCTACCTCGCGCTCCTGCTGGACCACTTGGTGACAACTTTGTGTCTTTCACTGGAGCCATCACGGCTGGTGTCGCTAGCAGCAACAGTGACTGTGACAGTGAGGATGGCAGCCCACGGTCTCGGCTTGCCATGCTTCCGAACAATTTCTGCCACGGCCTTCCTGCCCCAGCAGGAATTTCTGCCACTCAGCGTTCCCTGTCGGTCGCCTCGTCCCATAAAACTACCTCTTTTGGCCCTGCTGTGGCTGCTCCTGCTCCTGGTGCTGCTATGACAGCGGTTGCATCCGACGTGTACCTGGAAAAATATCGCCCGTTTAAGAAGCAGCGCAAGGCGTCTCCTCCTACCACTCCCTTGGGTGCACAAGGGGACCGCACCGGGGAAGCTGATAGCACGGGAGTGAGTTGCTTGAGCATCCAGGGAGCAAGACGATTCTCCTGCACTGGAGCCACAGCAGTAGGTGAGGGTAGGTGCTATATTCCTTCCCTTGTGGACCTAAATGAAGCCAGTCCAGGAACAGGAGGGTCAGAGGAAAGTGAAGTGTGTGGGGGCTTCAGGAGAAAGCAGGTAGAAGAGGAAGCATGCCTGCTGCTTGGTAAGGAGCAACAGGCGAAGAGAGAGGATGAAGACGATGTGGTGCTTGGAGCTGAGCTGCTTGTCTCACTTTTTGACAGCAGTCCAATGTAAATATTGTGTACATATTAGTGCTCAGGTTCATGTAAATGTGAAATAAGATTGGTACCTTCAGCTTGATTTCTTGAGAGTATAAACTACGAAACATTCCCTTTCAATTGTAATGTTCTGGGAAACTAGCCTGTTTGGTGAGGCATCTGATTTCTGGTCCACTCTTGCACGCATAACAATATATCCATATGATATCCTCACTGTAATTCATAATTTATGGTTGTAACGAGAACATTCTGGGTGAGCTGAGTCTGATGAAACGGGATATCTCAAGCCCAAGCCGCACGGATGCAAACTCGCAGGTGTGGCTGGGAGACGTCCAAGTCGTTCTAACCACATGGGTCCACGTAGGCACAAGAACGACCCTAGTCAGAGTACAACCGAAGAGATGAATGGCGTAAATTTACGACGAATGATATCCTTGTATCTGCCAGCCAGGCATCCCTTCAAGCTGTTTCACGGACCAATTAGAGAGAGAATATGGATGAGTTTGGTTCATTGGATCAGGTAATGTCGTCATCCAGTCTGCCTTCCGTGCAAGACCAGGTGCGGGCCACTCGAACTCATGATTGCGTCAACAGAGATGCAGGATTTTTGCCACCTCGATGATGTGCATGCCACAGTCGCTGGTCACGCGGCATACAAAGCTCGTCCTTGAAAATGTGGATGTTTTTTGGGGGGGACGGGCCGGGCATCGTCATTCTGATCAGGTGTACAGGTCCGATAAAGCAAGCATGGAATTCGTACAGAGCCTGCCCTACGTTACTGTCAAGGCCCCTCGAAGCTAGTCCACCATTCCTCAGGTCGGCCATCAGATTCGTCAGACGTTTCCCTCAGAACAGACCGATCGTTTCAAATCAGTCGTACGGTGGTGGTGAAGTGTTCTGTGCGTACGTACACATCACAGCCGTCGAATGAACAAGCATTCCTCGATCACGTCGACGTAGTCGTCAGGTGTTCGTGTGCGTGTGGGTGGGACATTCAAGAATTGAGATGTTTTGCTTGCATTGCCTCGTACAGTAATCGTATCAGGTCAGACTTTTGTCCATCGCCATTGGGCTTGCGGTCTCCAATTTTGTTTTCAGCTCCTCAATGATTCTTGCGAAAGTGCGGTAATTTGTTTTTTTGTTCGAAAAATGGACGCTGGCTAATCGCCCTCATAACGGCGTGTTGTAATTGCCGGTGCACTGCACCGGCTCGGGAATTTTGGAAGGCTCCCGGCTGGCGGGAAGCCAAACTCGGGCACTGAGTCGGGAAAGAAATGTTTCAGGATAGTGATTTTTTTAGTCATTTGCCAAGGTTCTACTAGGACATAGAATGTTTTCGCGCGTTTTCTGTAAACCTTTTACGGCCTCCTGCTTTCCTGGAGCCTCCCTAAACCCGTGCCACGAGCCGAGCCGATGCAGTGCACCGCAAATTGTAACACGCCGACCGAAGAGGATCCTGACATGTTACTGAACCAAGAATGGCCCCATATTTGTAGTGAAATGCGTTCCAATACCCTGATAACACAGGTGATTTCTCCACGCTTGGGTTCGCGCGTGGCGAAGCCTGTTTCGGTGTTGCGCTACAACAGTTGCATTGAGCGAGTGCATGCGCACAAGTCCCCCTCCATCCCTCCCTCCTCGTGCACTGTCCCACCCTCCCCCCTTTTCTTGACACACCTCCACATCCCCTTTCCTTTTTGCACAGCTATTTACACCCACTCTGCCCCTCCCCAACCAGCTCCGAATATCATGGTCACATCACGGCAATCACCCTGTCCTGGCCGAATATCAGAGCCTTGACCATTCACAACACTGCGCCATACATATCCTAAGAGATATTGGAATGCTGTCCTCGTTTCTCCCTTCTACGTGTAGTGCCGTGACCGTTCTTGAACCCACGTAGTTTGATCCGCCTCAAAAAGGATTTTGTTTCCTCCTGCCCTGCCTGTACTCAACATTTTTAGGAGAATTCGGACTCCTGAATTGAGGACAGACAGGACAATCTGAAACGGCTCCCTCGTCTGGGCACGTGAAACCCTTCTGTACACAATCCATTCTTTGATCCGCAATGGTTTCCTTTGTACAGAACCAATATGCAGTTCATTTCCTGTCAGACAGGCAGGGCAGGGCATCCCTCCCACGTCACTTCCGTTCCGTCCGTTTCGACCCAAAATCAGATGGTTCTAGCCAAACCTGGACCCTGATCTGGTCTGGTGATGCCGGTGTTTACGATTGGCCGATTGGTCTATGTCAGCATGAATCAGCGAGTCACGCCGCGTCAATGCCGGAATGCTGAGTCACTCTCAGGTGAGGCTGACTAGCTCACAGCACAGCAGACTGGAATGGGGTGTCACAGTAGTCTGCTCCGGCAGGCAGAAAGGACCTTGGATATGAACCGAAGTTGCTCTTGAAGGAAAAAAACCACCGCATATTCGATACACTTGTGCCAATAATCTTACATGTCGGAGACAGTCTCGAATGAGTTTCGCGAATTATAGCACGTTCGTGCTGCTGACTTGGGACCCAGATGAAATACTAGTGATGATCCACTCGGCAAACATGAAAGTTGCGGTAAAGACACCGAAGCATGATTTTACCTTGCAGGCTGTCAAATAGGCGAAACAATAGTGTACTGTGATAGCCAGCAAACCAGCAGTTCGCCAGCAAGCCATCGAGGCTGGAAAGCACGAAGGCAGAAATCGGTCCTCTCGGGGGCATTGAACAGCCGAGCTCGTTCATTGGGCAATGCTGCAGCAGACATCCTGATTCCCCCTCCTCTCTGCCCCTCTCGCCTCGCCTAGGCGCGCCCGATCAAACCGACCTTATCCTTTCAAGACCCTTCTTCTGTTTCTTCATTTCCCGAGCCTTCACTTGCCTTGATCATTTTCTCATTCCTGATCGCAGTAGCTACTGAATCACCTGCCAGCAGCTCTAGAATAGGTTCTCCCGGTTCGATAATCGCGTCTTAGTCGATCCCGCCAGCCACCGATCCTTCAGTCCCCGCGGCGCGCGTCTCGTGCACACCCGTTCTATCACTCTCCCATCTCTCGTTGATCTATTTTTCATTCCCTAATCGTCAAAAAATCCGACATGCTGCACGTTCAGAGCTCGCATTCGCATCCCGCAATGGCCGGGAACTATAATAACGTCATGAAGAAGCCATGGAAAGGGCAAAAGCCTCCTGCTCTCGAGTCATTCCCTTCGATGGAATCCTCGGATTCCGGACCTCCAGCGCTCGTTTCTTCTTCCATGAGCTTCCGTCACTTACTTTCCCGCCCCCTGGTCGAAGCGCCTTGCGATCCGTCGTATCCGCCGTCCATTTCCGCGATTTCCGTTGCTCCCGTGATTTCCCATCGTCCAATTAGCGTCCATGTCTTTACGGAGGACGCGAGGGACTACGGCTCGCATGCGCGACACGGGATGTCGGCTGATGGGGGCTGTGTCCGTGAGGCGCATGCGACATTTCAAAGCGACGGGGGAAGCGACGGAGCAAGCGACGTTTTCGCGTTCTCCGCACAACGGAAGTCCTCTCAACCGATGATTGACATCAACCACCCGCCTTCTGCTCTCTATGACTCGACGTCACAGGTAAAGTCGCAGACAATCCCTAGTAACGTTACTGTAACTCGAGCAATGAGAAATCCCTACAAGAACTTACGTCGTCGAGTGCTTTTATTTCTTTTTGTATCTTTCTTCTTCTCGTGATGCCTCAATAATCATGATCCTTTGTTCACTCTGCGTAATTTCCTACAGGATTCCTCTCAAGCCCCTGCGACTCCCGCGGCGAGCAACGGCTCCAAACCTGTCGCCTCCCACGGCGTCAACATGTTTTTCGTTCGCGATGACGTCGCAGACGCGTCGCACGGTTTCGCCACCGCGACAGCCGCTCGCACACACCCTGCCGCCGTCCCTGCTTATGCCATTTCTGGCCCACGGTCCCCCGCTCCTAGGTCCTCTCTCCCCCACAGCCTTCGTCATAAGGCCGTTAGCCGGATGTCAGTACCGGATGTGAACAAAGAGTCGATCGTCGTGAATGCATCGAAATCGCATGACTCGCACAGACATCAGCACCAACAGGATCGTCATCAGCAGCAGATGCAGCCGCTTTATCAGCAGAAGGACGCCCGGAAACCAGTTTACGTGCCTGAGATGATGCGAGAGGAGGTGACTGACGGCGACGAATTGCCCGACCGTTGGGACTCGTGCGAAGGGGACGATGCGGCTGCGACGCAGAGTAATGGAATCGCGAAGACCTGCGCGCACTGTGGCACATCGAAAACGCCCCTGTGGAGAAATGGGCCTCCCGGACCCAAGGTAATCTCATCATCCTTTTTTTCGCATGAGGTGTAGACATTCAAATATTCTGATAAATATGTTGACATTTTAAAATCTGGATGGCATCACTTGCTAATTTCCCGTCTTTACTTTCTCTCTTCGTTTCTGCAGTCACTGTGCAATGCATGCGGCATTCGATTCAACAAGATCCGCAGTGGAAAGCGCAAGGCATCCCCCCAGGAAGCAGCAATGCTGCGAGAATACGACTCCGCCGACCCGGCCTTCTCCAAGCCTCTGCCTCAATCGCCGGTACACAAAGCGCGCTCCCGGCTTCCACGCCCTCGTGCTGGTCTCTTCGTTTACGCGCCGTCGTCATGCTGTGAAGGCCTTCCATCTGCTGCCACCAGCAGCAACAGTGACTGCGGCAGCCCAGTAGGAGAAGGGCCAGAGGAGGGTGAAGTGTGCGATGAGCCGATGCATGTTGGGAAGAAAGTTTGTCTGCGGCACGAGGAGCAGCAGCTTGGGAATAAAGTGGATGAAGACGATGTGGTGCTTGGAGCCGAGCTCCTCGTCTCACTGTTTGGCAGCTGCCCAGTGTAAATGCTCTGCTGTGCGGGCAGGGTAGCCTCTCAAGCAGCCTACTGTCTGCTTGATTGTAAAATAATACCTGTACAGTTAGTTCCTCCCAAAGGTGTAAGTAGATTGTATCTTCATGCCCCTTGCTAATAAAGTATAGTATCAGTGAGTAAGTGGAGAGCTTCAAGTGGATAAGTGAGCTTTATAACATGTTTCCAACTCCATAAATTATCATTTTATACCCTTTCCACAAGCCACATGCCCAGATTCTATGGAGACATAATGCATAATAAGAGGGTGATATTTGTTCAAGGTGTTTCTGTTCCCTGGTGGCGGAATATGTGGAGTAAGATGGTTGACTTGCGTGTGGAGATCAAGTACCACGTCGGTATGACGCATTCTTTAGGCCTACTTGCGTCATCCTGAACATCAACAAGCAATCATGCCTCACCACGTCGGCGTGCTTCCTCACCAGCCACTTGGTTCCAGCGCCAGTTCCGCTTGACCGGAATTGTCATACGATCGCATGACCTGGAATCAGCCGAGACGCGTACTGTACTTTGCGCCGCGCCGCACCTACAAATTTTCCAGCCCCTCCACAATTCCCCTTCCCCAGCTTCACATGTCGAGAGAAAAAATATCATGCCACGCACGGCTCTCTGCTGCGCCCACCACCTCCGTCTTTCGTGAAATTCGTGTTTTGTCATCCAGCCAACTCAAACCAGCGACAATTTTCGTGCATATCTTGCACCATCCCTCCCTTTCCTTCCTGGTGCATGCTTCGTGGGGAAACTCACCAGCAAGCCTTCCTAGTTGTTTGAAGCACAACAAAAGGACGTATCACAAGCTAGTTGCGACACACGAGCTGAAACTGCAGTCGCCCTGCGGGATTTCCAATTGCCTGCAGTGTCAGCCCTCCCACTCGAATGTTCCCCACATTTCCACAGTCGCGCAAAATCGAGGCTGCTTACGAGTCTCCAGCAATTTGCTAGAAGTGACACTTCCTCGCACACTCACGTCTCGACATTCTGTCCTTTCAAGGCACCGCGTGCTGTCTCGGACGATATCGAACGCCACAATAGCAGACTCGCTACCGCATCTCGTCAGACATCATAGAAGAAAAGCGTGTCCACAGCCAGGCCTTAACTCGTACGCGATTCCATCTTCGTTACACACAGTCTCGTTAACTTTCCGTCACGAGTTTACGGAGAACCTGAACGTTGCGTCCCGGAGATTGCGCCGAGTATCGCGCACGGCGTGTTCCGTGGGTAATTATCGGTCGCGCCAAACCGACATGGGACTCTGTCGCATCGCATCATGCTCGCAGCCTTCACAACTCACTTTCTCTCCGGTAGCTATATTCGTTGCGACCCTCCTGCCTCTCTCCCTCATCTCCTCTTCCCATGCTCGAAGCATCCTACATCTTGGTATTTATTCGAGTTCTAGCGCGCTAAGTGATTTTTCTGCCCACGCCGCTACTGACATAGTCGCTAAAAACAACATTCTTGCCGGCCGGAGAGCCAAAGCCGTTAGATTTGACGAGCCGACAGAAGCCGACGCGGAATTCGAGTCGGCGAAACCTCCTGCGATAAACGACAAGCCGTTAATCGGCATTCTCTCGCAGCCGGGCGACGGCGATGGCGGGAAAGCGCCACGAGTCAACTTGAACCAGGCGGTTGATACGCCGTACGATGAGGGATCGTACGGCGGGGCGGAAGTCGGGCGACACAGGGCAATTGACACGAACGTGTCGTACATCGCCGCTTCGTACGCCAAGTGGGTGGAGAGTGCGGGCGCACGACCCGTTCTGTTGCTGTACGACGAACCGGTGGAGGTACTTCGTCAGGTGCGTTTGCGAACTCTCCGAATCTTATTTCGCAGTGTTACTCTCGCAAGGCCCGAGTCTATCCACTTGGTGGGACGGGAAGGTGGAAATTGACGGTTTTTCTCTAATGAAGTGTTCTAATGGTCGACGGTAAATTCTCCGTGAAAATTTCATTGGGTCGACGGTAAGGTCTGCGTGATATGCTTCAGTGGGAAACGGATCAGTATTTGACTGTTTGTTTCCGTTTTTCCTGTTGTCTGTAACGTCCCTGTCACCAGAAATTCGATATGATCAACGGTCTGCTGATTCCCGGCGGAGGGACCGACTTGGTGCCTGGGCCTTTCATGTCTAGAGTGCAACTGCTTCTACAGGTACATTACTTCCATTTTGCGACATAACTGCTTCGTTGCTTACTGTACAGCATGCGATCTTATCAGGCGTTTCCTTAATAGCTGCACACGAGTGTCTCTGCAAGCCTGGTAGCACCTTGAAGGCGTTCGATTGCAGCTAATCTTGTCATTAAGGAAAGGAATGAGCAATAACCGTTGGAATCATGCTTTTGGAATAACCGTTGAAGTCCGTCAACCGTTTTCCATGTGCAGTGGGCCAAGGAGGCGAACGATCGAGGCGACTACTTCCCCGTGCAAGCCACGTGCATGGGGTTCGAAGCCATGGCGATTGTTATTAGCGAGGTATGCTTGTAGCGGGTCAGATGTAGCGGGCAGCTGACGTTTTCATTCGTGGGCTGGAATTTGAATAACATTCGGCATCAGCTCTGTTGTCGAGGCGCCACCTCCGAATTCCACCTCCCTGGTCTGTTTTCCCTTTCCCTTCTCTCGTTCCCCTTCCCCAGTTCTCCTTCCCGCCTTCCGCATTCTTACCTCCTCCCCCGGTTCCTCTCAAACGTTTTGTCCGCCCACATTCCCCCTCCCTTCCATCGTGACATTGACCCGCATTGACCGGCATTGACCGCGATTGACCGGGATTGAGCATGATCCGCATTGACCGGCATTGACCGGCATTGACCCGCATTGACCCGCATTGACCCGCATTGACCCGCATTGACCCGCATTGACCCGCATTGACCCGCATCGACCCGCACTGACCAGCGTTGTCCCGCATCACCGGCATTAGCCCGCGTTCATCCGCATTGAGCAGCATTGACCCTCATTGACTCGCACATTTGACCCTCACGCACCCTTGCTGACCCACATTGACTCTCAGGACCCGGACCTGCTGGAGCTGAGGCGGTTCAGCGCCTTGGACTGCTGTTGACCCCCGTTGATTCTCAGGAACCGGACCTGCTCGAACTGAGGCGCTTCAGCGGCTTTGATTCACCTCCACATCTTCTAGTTGACTCTTGTTAACTCTTTTTGACTCGTTGACTCTTGTTGACTCTCTTTGACTTGTTAACTCCCGTTGACTTTCAGGACCCGAACCTGCTGGAACTGAGGCGCTTCATTGCGTTGGATTTGGCCTCTCCGCTCAAATTCGTGGGCAACTGGGTGCACCGCAGAAGCTACTTCTCCTGGTGAGGCCGCTTATAGCGAGTACGGTCTGAACTCGTTACTAAGTGCGCTGCAGGAGCTGCTTCTCCCGTTGAGTCTGCTTATAACGAGTAAGATGGAATTTCCCCCCTTCGTCTCACCATGCCCCCTCTCTTCCCCTCTCTCTCTCTCTCTTCCCCCCTCTCTTCCCCCCTCTCTCTTGCGCCCCTCACTCTGTCTCCTGATTTGGCTGGGAAGGTGCAAGAGCTCCCTCTCCTCTCGTCCCCCCTCGTTCCCTCTCGTTTCACTGTGCCTCCACCCTTCCCCCCTTCCACCCTTCCCCCCTCCCGCCGCGCCCCCCTCCATCCGCGCCCTTTCCCCCTTCTCGCTCTCAGGATGTCTCCGGATTTGGCTGCAAAGGTGCAAGAGCTCCCTCTCACCATGGAGAACCATCAGGTAACTTCCGGTTTTCCGACTTTCCTCCCCCCCTCTCTTCGCACCTCTCGCTCTATGTCATGAAAGGTGCAGAAGCTACCCTTCTCTGTGGAGAAGCATTCCATTGTTCAGGTAAGCTCCAGTTTTTCTTCTCCTTTGCCAATGCTCGCGATGGTGTACCTGTGTCCTCACCACCTCCTTCTCCTCCCCCCCCCCCTTCTCCGCACCTCCGTCCTCCTCCCCTCTCAGGACGGCCCCACGGTGCATTGCTTCCTCTCCAACAGCCAGCTCAGGGATTTCTACTTTGTGCACACCACGCCTCTCCCCTTCCCATGACCCCTCAACCTGCTCTTTTCCCTCCCTCCTCCTCCCCCCTCTCAGGACGGCCCCACGGTGCATCGCTTCCTCTCCAACGCCAGGCTCAGAGATATATTCTCCGTGCTCTGTTCACCACCTCGATCTTTGCACCCTTTCTCCCTCCTCCCCTCCCCATTTCACCTCATCCTCCAATGCACCCCCCTCCCCCCTCTCAGGACGGCACCACGGTGCATCGCTTTCTCTCCAACAGCAAGCTGAGGGATTTCTTCTTCGTTCTCACCACCTCGTTCGATAAGAATGGACTGGTACGGCATGGAATGTTGTTTTTGTCTCTCGTTCATTACTGAAATGCTATATTTTAAATTACTGTATCAGAGAACTTATGATTCCGATGATTTCGAACACAATGTGGTTCGAATGATTCCATCTGCGTCTCACTGTTGAGAAGTGTATGTATCATGTCTTTACAGCAGTTCAAATCGGTACAGTGCAGGGAAATTAATTTCTGTACTTATGTTCCTGTTCTCTCCGTGTGCCCATCTGTGACTGTAGGAGTATGTGACAACAGTGCAGGGAAAGCGGTATCCCTTTTATGGCACGCAGTGGCATCCAGAGGTGGGTTGTCGCATGCTGACGTGGGTTCTGTCACGCTGACGTGGTTTGTGACATGCTGATGTGGCTGGTAGCAGCAGAAAGAACGTCAAGTCAGGTTTGGACCACATACCCTACGCAGCATACCATACGTCAAGATCTCAAAACTCTCTCCTCTCGCTCATTCCTCCCTCGCTCGAATGGTATCTTGAGACGTCTCAAAACACTCGCTCGAATGGTATCTTGAGACGTCTCAAAACACTCTCTCGAATGGTATCTTGAGACGTCTCAAAACACTCTCTCGAATGGTATCTTGAGACGTCTCAAAACACTCTCTTGCATGGTATCTTTCTTTTCAACAGAAAAAACGCGCACGAGTGGGGGCTGGATCACATACCCCCTGCAGCAGGCGCCAATGCTGTGGGTCAGGTCCCTCATGCTGGTCTCATTCCGCTCTCCCCTCTGCTCCCTCTCATTCAACAGAAAAACGCCTATGAGTGGGGGCTGGATCACATACCCCTGCAGTATTTCTCAAACTCCTCTTTCTCTTGTGCCTTTTCCCCTCTCATTGCTTCACACGACGCACAAATCAACAGAAAAATGCATATGAGTGGGGGTTGGGTTGGACCACATACCCCATGCAGCAGACGCCATTGCTGTGCTTCTCATTCCTCCCTCCCCTATCCTCTGCTCCCCTCTCACCTCTTCACCCAACCCTCTTCACACAACAGAAGAACACGTACGAGAGGGGGTTGGTTGGACCACATGCCCCATGCAGCACACACCGTGGCAGTGGGTGTGCTTGTCAGGACTCACACACCATGGCGGTGGGTGTGCTTGTCAGGACTCACACACCATGGCGGTGGGTGTGCTTGTCGGGACTCACACACCGTGGCAGTGGGTGTGCTTGTCAGGACTCACACACCATGGCGGTGGGTGTGCTTGTCGGGACTCACACACCATGGCGGTGGGTGTGCTTGTCGGGACTCACACACCGTGGCAGTGGGTGTGCTTGTCAGGACTCACACACCATGGCGGTGGGTGTGCTTGTCGGGACTCACACACCGTGGCAGTGGGTGTGCTTGTCAGGACTCACACACCATGGCGGTGCTAACCCTAAACCCTTTTTTCTATTCTCATTCCTCCTTCCCCTCCCCTCCCCTCCCCTCTCATTCCTTCACACACAACAGAAGAATGCATACGAGTGGGGGTTGGACCACATACCCCACGGAGCACATGCCATAGCTGTGGGTCAGGCAGCAGCCAACTTCTTTGTCAAGTGAGTTGGTCTCTTTAGCTGTACAGTCAGATGCACTACAGTCACTAGTGCTACAGTCACAAGTGCTACAGTCACTAGCACTAATCACTCTGCCACACACCACACGCCATAGCCGTGGGACAGGCAGCAGCCAACTTCTTTGTCAAGTATGTTGAAAGTGGTCTCAATAGCGCTACAGTCACACGCACTGCACTCACGCACTACAGTCACACGCACTACAGTCGCACGCACTACAGTCACACGTGGTACAGTCACACAAGCTACAGACTCATGCGCTACAGTCACACGTGCTACAGTCACACGCGCTACAGTCACACTCACGTTCAACTTGCTTCCATTCCCCGTCCACTCTGCCTCACATCTCCGCCCTCTCACATCTCCACCCTCTCACATCCCCGCCCCTTCCTCCTTATTTTCCCTCCCCTTTCCCCTCATGGCAGTGAGGCTCGGCGCAACACCCACTCTCCAGCCTCGGACGAGAGCATGAACGACTTGCTTCTCTGAAAATGCTCTCCTGTTCCTCCCATTTCTCCCCACTCCTCCCCAATCCTCCCCATGGCAGTGAGGCGCGTCGCAACACCCACCATCCTGCCTCGAATGAGAGCATGAACGACATTCTCTACAACAAATCTCGTGTTCCCCCCCACTCCTCCCCACTCCTCCCCACTCCTCACCCACTCCTCGCCACTCCTCACCCACTCCTCACCCACTCCTCCCCACTCCTCACCCTCCCCACTCCTCACCCACTCCTCCCCACTCCTCACCCACTCCTCCCCACTCCTCACCCACTCCTCCCCATTCCTCACCCACTCCTCCCCACTCCTCACCCACTCCTCCCCATTCCTCCCCATTCCTCCACGTACCTCCCTATGGCAGTGAGGCGCGTCGCAACTCCCACCATCCAGCCTCGGACGAGAGCATGAACGACTTGCTTCTGTACAACCACGCTCCCGTGTTTGCCGGCAAGAATGGGTGAGCTGCTTACTTTGTTGGCAAGAGTTGGTGGGTTGCGTGCTGTTACCGGTGAACTGAGGGAGGGCATGAACGACATGCTTCTCTACAACCAGGCTCCCGTATTTGCCAGCAAGAATGGGTGAGCTGTCTGCGGTGAGAATCACGGACTTGTCTTTGCCAGCGCGAAGGGTTAAGTGGCATGCTATCACCCGCGAGTTGAGAGAGGGGATGAACGACATGATTCGGTACAGCTACGCTCCCGTGTTTGCTGGCAATAGTGGGTGATTCGTGGATGGAATATCGCGTTTGCAGAGAAGAGCGGGTGAGTTGCCTACTCGCTGGCACAAATGGGTGAGTGACAGACTGTTACCGGTGAGCTGAGGGGATGCACGATTCACAATCTCAGGCAAAACGACTTCGAAACTAAGGGGATGCACGATGTTTTATACACTTATTTTTCCTTCCTTTTCTTTCCTGCTCGTTTATTGTGATGTTGCAGGCATGGGTACTTTGAGCAATCGTATGTGTTCAGGAAAGCGGTTGGTTCTGGTGATGCCGTTAGAACTGAATGAGAAGGTTGTTTTCACGTATTTATTAGCAGCACATGTTTCTGTTAGCATGCCTAGGTTCCGATTATTTTTATGTTCTGCATGAGATGTAGAGGAATATGCAGTCTTTTAGATGTTCATGCTGGTGCTGTGCTGCCAAGATCACATAATGAATCACCAAGGGAGAAGGGGATGAAGTACGGTGAGTTTGGTTTGAGAGGGCTGGTGATTGCGGAGTTGTTCTCGTTGCATTTATTTTATTGTACCAGGTTTTTGCACCTGTTTTTATCTGAACCAGTTTTTAGCATTACCAGCTACATATCAGATCCAAATTCACAGACTCTGTCTAGATTTGAATTTCCCTACGCGCAAGGTCAAGACGAATTTGACACATGAGATCCCAATGCTTATTGGATGAGAGTCCCACGGCTAGGATTGGAGCAACTGTTCGTGCCACAACCAGCTTTCCTCCTGTTCTCTTTCTTGGCCCTCTGCCTTAAAAGCACTGCCAGAACCAGCAGCAGCAGCATCACCGTAGCACTGAAAGCAGCAGCAGCAGCAGCAGCAGCAGCACACGCAGCACTAGCAGCAATGCAAACAGCAGCAGCAGAAGCACCAAAACTACCAGCAGCACCACCAGCAGAAGCATCACCACCCTGAGCCATCAGCATCACTCCAATTGCTGTCCTACTACCGTACTTGCACTCCACTTTCTTACAACTCCACAAGTGAAAAACTGCTGTTTCACCAGCTGTTTTCCTCCTCTTCTCCCAATTTCAAGCCAGAGGCTACTGTTTCACAAGCCCCTTCCCTTTGCTCACACCCGGCTTTCCTCCTGGTTTCTTCCTTGCCCCTCCTCCCCCATCAGCAGCAGCAGCACCACCACCAGCACCAGCAGCAGCACCACCAGCGCCAGCAGAAGCACCAGCATCGCCAATAGCACTGATGCTACTGCTTCACAAGCCCCTTCCCTTTGCTCACAACCAGCTTCCCTCCTGCTTTCTTCCTTGCCCCTCCTCCCCCAGCAGCAGCACCAGCAGCACCCGAACCACCTGCGTCGGCACCGTTGCTGCCACTCCCGTTTCTCCCCGAGCCTGCTCCGTTGGTTCGGCCAATCGACCCAAGAATGTTCTTTTTCACTGCAGTAGCACCAGCACCAGTAGCACCTGCACCAGTGGCACCAGCAGCACTAGCACCAACAACACCAGCACCAGCACCAGCAGTAGCAGCACCACCAGCAGCTGTATCTAAAGCCTTGCCCAGTACTTGTGCTAACTTGTCTCCTCCTCCCCCACCTCCTCCCCCTCCACTACCCTTCTCCTCATCCCATCCCTCCTCATCATCCCAATTCTCCCACCCTTCTCCTCCCCCACTCCCACTCCCCCTCCCCCGCCCACTCGGCCCCTGCCCTAATGCCAACGACAAATCCACCTCCTTTCCTGGAACCTTCGCGTACGCCGGACCTCCCAGCCCGCCGAACCTGCCCCCGGCCTCGCCGGTTCGGCAGCAGCAGAGGCAGCAGACGCAGAGGGAGAGTGCGAGAGCGGCGAGAAGGCCTAGCAGGAGACAGAAGGCTGCTGTTTGGGCCTCGGCATAAGGGAGGAAGGTGCTGAGAAGTGATGCTAAGGGAGCCAGAACAGGCTCTAAGGTTGAGGCAAGAAGAGAAGAGAGGGAGGGCTGGGAGGAGGGAGAGGAGAGGGAGGGAGAAGAAGCAGAAGAGGGTTCCAAGGAGGACGACGAAGAGACGGGGGGATTGAAGGAGGGAGGCAAGGAGGGTGGGGTGAGATCTTGCTCTGAGGGCAGAGTTGCCTTGGAGCTTCCTGATTGGGACATTTCATCTCCTTCTTCTCCTGCTGCTGCAGCCTCCGCTTTTGCTGCTGTGCCTCTTTCCTCTGCTTCTCCTGCTGCTGCTTCTGCTGCTGATGCTTTTGGGTTGGAAGGACCGAAATCCTGAAGTGTTCCATACTCATCCTCCTCTCCCCCATACGGAGACTCCCTGCCACTACCCGCACCACCACCCCCACCACCCCTACCACCACCACCACCACCACCAAGCTTTCCTGCCCCTGCTCCTGCTGCTGCTTTTGGATTGGAAGGACCGAAATCCTGAAGCGTTCCATACTCATCCTCCTCTCCCCCATAAGGTGACCCCCCCCTACCACCACCACCACCACCAGCACCACCGCCCCCACCAAGCCTCCCTGCCCCTGCTCCTTTTCCATTCAGCAGACTGTCTTTTCCTTCACTCTCAGACGCCTGAAACCCTCCTGCTCCTCTTTCACCTGTCACTGCACCTGCATTCTTACCACCTGAAACCCGCCCCCTGTTCGCCCCTTCTGCAGGATACTCGTCTTCCTCAGCCGAACCCTCAAGTGCATCTTCAGGTGAATTTTCAGGTGAATCTTCAGGTGCTTCTTCAGCAGCGAAGTCGTCTCCAGGCATTGCCCACTCACCCTCCTCCTCCCTTCCCCCCACACTCCCATCCTCTCTCTCCCCCTCTCTCGCCCCTTCTTCTGCACCATACTCTTCCTCTCCATCTGTTCCTTTCCTGGTATCACTACCAACTAAACCTTGTCCCCTCTCCTCCTCTCCATCTGTTCCTTTCCTCGCATCACTACCAACGAATCCTTTTCCCCTTTTCTCCCCAGCCTCCTCACCCCGATCCTCACTCTCCCCCTCTTCTTGTGCAGCAGGTAACTCCTCCTCTCCATCTGTTCTCTTCCTAAAATCACCAGCACCACCTCCTTTTCCTCTCTTTCCCTCAGCATCCTTCTTGGAAGCAGCAGCTGCTTCTGCTGCTGGTGTTGGCTTTCCATCTACTCGTCCATCTGCCACCGAGTCTCCTTCCTCTGCTGCTGCTTCTGCATCCAATGCCCCCTTCTCAGCACCACCCTCAACCCCGCCATCAACCCCACCCTCAGCTGCACCACCCTTCCCATTTTTACCCGGAGACCTGCTGTGCAAAAGCGCTTCCTCTCCTCCCTCCTCTGCTCTCATCTCCGCCTCCTCCTCTCCCTCCTCTTCTTCCCTTTCTGCATCCTCCTCTCTCCTTACCTCATCCCTTCCTCCTCCTTCCCCTCCCTCTCCCACTCGCACCCCCTTTAAGCCACCTCCCTTCTTCCCCGGCCGCTCAGTAACAGCAATATTGTCGCCCAAACCCCCCTCCCCCTGCTCCTCCCTCTCCTCCTCCCGCTCCTCTTCCTCTCCCTTTTCTCCCTCTCCCACTCTCACCCCCTCCGTGCCACCTCCCTTCTTCCCCTGCCGTTCACCCAAAACCCCCTGCGCCTGCTCCTCCCCTTCACCCTCCCTCTCCTCTTCGTCCTCTCCCCTTTCTCCCTCTCTCATCACACTATCCCCTGTAAGATCTGCTCCGGTAAGAGTACCCTTCCCGAACGTGCCCTTTCCGGCCGGGTCTTTCGACCTTTGAGTAGACCCACGCGTCTCCTCTTCTCCTCTCATCACACTATTCCCTGTAAGCTCTGCTCCTGTAAGCGTTTCTTTTTCGGACAACCCCTCTCCATCAGTGGCGTTTGCAGCAGCTAAATCAACCACGGAAACATCCGTTTCCCCTGCTGCTGTGGCAGCTTCTGCTGTTGAGCCTTCGCCACCTGCCTTGCTACCTGCTTTGCTGACCCTCCAGCTACTCGTCGCTGTACCCTTTCCCCCAGTGGCTTTTGCAGCAGGACCACCTACCAAAGATGCATCCAATTCTTCACCTTCCTTTGTCTCTGCCGCTAACTCATCAACCTCCTCTGCTGCTGTGGAGCCTTCGCCGCCTGCCTTTCCACCTGCCTCACGACCTGCTTTGCTAACCCTCCAGCTGTCTTTAGTTGCACCCTCCTTCGTCTCTGTCGCTAGCTCTTCAACCTCCTGTGCTGCAGCTGCGTCCTCTGCTTTGCCCTCTTCCGTTTCCTCTGCCGCTTCCTCCTCCTCCTCCTTCTTCTCCTCCTCCTCCACCTCCTCCTCTTCCCCAGCCAATCCTGCCTCCTCTTTAGTCCCCCCCTCACCCCCTCTCTTCCCCACCACTCCCGCTTCCTTCTCACCTCCCTTATCACCTCCCACCTTGGTTGTAACATTTGCATCCACCAATTCCTCCTCTCCTCCTCTCTTCTCTCCCACCCTACTTGTAACATTCGCCACACTACTAGTAACATTCCCACCACCAGCACCAGCACCAGCACCAGCAGCAGCACCACCACCAGCAGCACTACCAGCAGCATCAGTGCTTTTAGCTTTCGGCATGATTGCCTCTTCTGCTGCTGCAAGTGCCTCATCCACCTTTTCCATCCCCAAATCCGCTGGCCCAACCTTCACTTCCTCATCCTCCTCCGCTTCTTCTCCCTTCACCTCTTCTCCCTTCATTTCCCCTCCCTTCAACTCACCCTCCTCCTCCCTTTCCTTCTGCTCCACGCCCTCACCCCTCTGCTGCTGCCCACTCACGCGCTCACCCCTCTGCTGCTGCCCACTCACGCCCTCCCCCTTCAGCTCCTCACCACTCACGCCCTCCGCTCTTGTCCCGTCCTTTCCTCCCTTCGCAGTCTGTTTTCCCCCATCCATCTCCACCCCTCTCGTCCCTTCCTTCTCCATCTCCTTCTCCTCCTCTGCCTCCTCTTCCTCTTCGTTCTCTGCCTCCCCACCAGCCGTCTTCACATTCTTTGCTTCCCCACCAGTCACCTTCTCATTCTCTGCAGCCCCACCGACCGACCTTGCACCCTCCTCCTCTGCGCTCCCTGCATCATTCTCTCCCTTTTCCTCCTCCTTGCCCGCCCCAGTAACTTCGCTGCGATTGGCTTCAGCAACAGCGGAAGTAGCACCAGCTGCTGCTGCTGCAGCATCGTCAGTGGTACCAGCAGCAGTGGCAACAGTGGCTGCTTTGGCAGAAGCGGCACCCCTAGTGCTGGGAGCAGTGCCATCAATGGTAGCAGCAGGTGCAGTGGCAGCAGTGGTATCGTTAGTGGTAGCAGGTGCAGTGGTACTACCAGCAGCAGGATCCCTGGTGGTGGCAGCAGTGGCACCTCCAGTAGTAGCAGCAGCGGCACCTCCAGTAGTAGCAGCAGTGGCACCTCCAGTAGTAGCAGCAGCGGCACCTCCAGTAGTAGCAGCAGCAGCACCGTCAGAGGTAGCAGCAGCAGCACCGTCAGTGGTAGCAGGTGGACGCACCCTACCAGCACCACCACGAGCAACCGAAGCATCCACCCCAGCAACCGCGGCAGTAGCAGCAGCAGTAGCATTAGCAGCATCAACACTTTCCGAAGTGGCAGTGTCAGCTTCCCTATCAGCAGCACCCACAGCAGTAGCCTTGGCACCTTCCGGCCTTCCAGAAGCAGTGGTAGCATCAGCAGCACCAGCGGCATCAGCAGCACCAGGACCTTCCGAAGTGGCAGTGGCAGCTTCCCTATCAGCAGTAGTCACCGCAGCAGACTTGGCACCTTGCAACCCAGCAACAGCAGAAGCAGTAGAAGCAGAACCACCGGCAGTGGCAGCAGCAGCAGCAGAAGCAGCAGCAGTAGCTACACTCCCCCCCTTCTCCTCCTCGTCTTCCTCCTCCTGCTTCTCATCCCCTTCCTCCTGCACCTCCTTTCCTCCCTCTGTTCCTGTCACACCTCCCGAAGCAGCTGCTGCATCTAATCCCTTGTCCTCTTCCTCCCCTTTCTCGCTTCCCTCTGCTGCACTCACACCAGAAGCAGCTGTTGCATCTATATTCTTCTTGTCTTCTTCCCCTTTCTCTCCTTGCTCCGATGCATGCTCGGCAGAGGCTGTACGAGCTGTAGCAGAGCCTGCCGGATCTGTAGGTTCGGCAGGCCTGGCCGAGCCTGGCTTTTTGCCTCGGACAACGGCTCTGGGACCATGTAAGCCCGCAAGAAGGCGACGGTTCGGCCCCACTGGTACAGATGCTGCCGTACCTTCCAAACCGTTAGGTCCGGAGGCTGTACTTCCGGTTGTAGCATCCGAACCTCTAGGTTCGGAAAGTCCAGCCACGAGGGAGGGAGGAAATTCAGCAGAATTTGCTGCTGCAGATTCGGTCTCCGTGGGAAGAGTTGCAAGACGTCTTGAAGCATACTCAGATGTTGCGGAAAGAGTGGTTTCTGGCCTGGGTATGAGAACGAATGGATCAGCACCATCAGTTGATGGAGTGAGACTTTCAGGAACATGCGAAGGGACGGTTGTCCCCGATTGAAGGCCATCCGGTGAGGGACTCAGCGCCTGATACAAAAATACACACCATACGAACGATGAAGAAGGAAAGGCCTCGAGTTTGAGAGGGAAGGAGAGAGACGACGGAGTTTGAACATAGATAGAAGTTAACTAGCTTGTTGGAGCAGTAAAATAGTCGGATCCCTGACGTTTTAAGTTGGGAGACGAGAGAAGGCGAGAGAGGAGAGGAAAAAGAGAAAGAGGTGAGAGAGACAGGGAAACGAGATAGAAAGGGCTTACCCAAATAGGAGCGACGGAGGACAAGTGAAGAACGATGAGGAGAACGCTGGTCATGGACGATGACGTCATTACGCGCTGCGGCGACGTCATCCGACCTTTCGCGACGACGACGAATGGAGTAACAGAATGGATGACAGGAACTAAGAACCCTTGCACTCCGACTATAGGACCGTCACGAGTCGCATGTCGGTGAGCCGTTAAAAGGCTTCACGATTAACTGTTAGAAAGGTGAGGTTAGCAGAAACGACGGGAAAAGCGAATCTCGGGGCAGAGCATTCACGGCATTCCCTAAGATCTCCGTATTCTCCGCATTCTCTCACGCCAGAGGTAAATATATCCTACTCCTTAGCGAATCGCCGTCTCGTTTGCGATTCTTGTTCGCGAATGCGGAGGCGAGGATAAACGAACGCTCACGAAAACCTGGTCGGAACAACCTTGGGAGGAGCGGCAATCCGACCTGAAATTGATCTCAGCCGTTTCTCGCTAACCACGGAACTCCTATCTGAACGCAGCATATGTTGAACACAAGGAACGCATGCTGCTGAAATCACGGAACTCCCTATGATCGACGTATCGCTTGGAAATACCGCTCGATGAGAGCAATGGCATGTCGGTGGGACCAAAAATCTGGTAGGTGAACCAGCCAGATATAAAATTTGATTTATTATTATTAAAACAGTCTTCGAGTAACACGGGGATGTAGCTCAGATGGTAGAGCGCTCGCTTAGCATGCGAGAGGTATGGGCGGCGATACCCCACTTTTCCATTAGATTTTGGTTTTTGTTGGTTTCACTTGCCCCTACCAACCTACAGAATCTGCTTAGAAAAAGCAATAAGCAGGTGAAATGAGTCACTGTAACTTGTAGCATTAGCTGGGGTATTGATGGAGAAACCTGACGGCATACACCTCCTCAAAATTGTACCAGTATGTCTCCCCCTCTTGCAATTATCAAAGGCTATAAGGCTGTGGTGGATCAACTGTGCATCAGGTGAAAAAACTATTTTCTAATGGTTCCTTTCCTAACAGGAATGGCATCGCTTAGCACAGAAAGTCACAAAAAAAATCAGCACCAAAGCTAGCAACGTGGCCTCTACACTGCACATTCTTACACTAAGGGACAACAACGTAGTTGGGATGGTAACGAACCTGTGGTTAATCTACGACTCCATCAAATGAGAAGGTCCCATTCTGCATGAGTAACATCAACACTCCATCCTCCTTATTGAGCTGAGCTTCCTCCCATTAATCCAAGTGTGGCTTTGAGCACCTGCGCACTCTCCTTGGCATACCTTACACTATCCTCCCCAGCCTTCAGCCCCAGCCACTCAGGTGGACACGTGGCGGGCAGTGATTGGACCCAGCTGGTGTACGCCTCCTCACTGTCCTCATCCGGTAAGTTGAGTAACGCCGACACGCTGGTTACCGCATCACCAGCAGCCGCACCACCACCAGGAGCAGCAGGGGCGAGAGAGAGGGCGAATCGTGGCGCGAAAAATGCCTTGGGATCGCCAAACACGTGCGAGACGATGCGGGAGAGAGTGGCATGGTCGGCAGGGGATTCCATCTTGAGCCCGTAGGCAATGTCTAGGAGGAGCGTTTGCACTGCTGGCAGGCAGTTGACGGGTGTTAGGCTGGTGGGGCTGTCTGCTTGCCATGCCCGCAGCAGGGATAGAGCCCAAGTGAGGTCCTGTAGGTGTGGAAAAGGGTGGAAAGGGGTGGGAAACGGCGAGAAGAGGTGAGAATCGGTGACAAGGGGAAAAATCAAGTGGTGGTCTGCAGGGGACTCCAACTTGAGTACATAAGCTATGTCGAGTAGCAGGGTTCGCACTGCTGGTAGGCAGTTCATGCGTGTCAAGTGGACAGGGCTGTCTGCCTGCCATGCCTGTAGAAGGGAGAGCGCCCAGGTGAGGTCCTGTAAAGAGGAAAAAGAAGGTGGGAAGTGGTGGGAAATGGTTACAAAGGGTGATAATGGGTGACATGGGGTGGTGGTGGTCTGCAGGGCATTCCATCTTGAGCCCATAGGCTATGTCAAGTAGCAGGGTTCGCACTGCTGGTAGGCAGTTGAGGGGCGTCAGGTTGACAGGGCTGTCTGCTTGCCAGGCTTGGAGCAGGGAGAGCGCCCAGGTGAGATCCTTGAAGGGGTGGGAAGGGGTGGGAGGGGATGACAAAGGGTGACAAAGGGTGACAAAGGGTGAAGGGCACAGCCACCCCCTGGGCACATAGTGCACTTGCTCCTGTAGCACCGCATGCACCCATTACCTGGTGTCCCACTCGAAATCCCCCCCATAATGACAGTCATATCCACTTACATGGTCCATGAAGGTGTAAGGGCACAGCCACCCCGAGGCACATAGTGCACTCGCTCCTGCAGCACCGCATGCACCCACGCCATGCCTACCCGCACCCCAAGACACACTCTAAGCCACACTGCCTGCCCCAACTCACATGGTCCATGAACGTGTAGGCGCACAGCCACCCCCGGGGCACGTAGTGCACTCGCTCCTGCAGCACCGCATGCACCCATGCCATTCCCACCCACACCCGCTCTGGCCCACCCACACCCGCTCTGGCCCACCCACACCCGCTCTGGTCCACCCACACCCGCTCTGGCCCACCCACACCCGCTCTGGCCCACCCACACCCGCTCTGGCCCACCCACACCCGCTCTGGCCCACCCACACCCGCTCTGGCCCACCCACACCCGCTCTGGCCCACCCACACCCGCTCTGGCCCACCCACACCCGCTCTGGCCCACCCACACCCGCTCTGGCCCACCCACACCCGCTCTGGCCCACCCACACCCACGCCATGTACACGCACACCCATTCTCGCTCACATACAGAGGCACACTCACATGGTCCATGAAGGTATAAGGGCACAGCCACCCCCTGGGCACGTAGTGAACCCTCTCCTGCAGCACTGCATGCACCCATGCCATTCCCACTCGCACCCGCAGCATCTGCCTCCGCCTCTGCCTCTCCTCCCCCTCCTCCTGCTCATCTCCCCCTCGCACTTGCAGCATCTGCTGCTGCTGCTTCCCCTGCCGCCTCTTTTCCACAGCAACCCCACTCCGCCCGCTGCCCCTCTCTGCTTCTTCCTCCAGGTTTCTCTTTCCCTGCTGCTCGCTCCACTGGCTGCTACCTCTGGCCGAGAGCGAGAGAATGGAATCCAGAGATCTCTGTAGGGGGGAGGGATAGAGGGGGAGTGCAGGGGGTGGGTGTGAGAGGAACGGGTGAGCATCTGCTTGCATTCTCCGCTGCTTCCTCTGCCTCGCTTCTCCCTCTCTGCTGCTCGCTCCACTGGCTGCTGCCTCCGTCCGAGAGCGAGAGAATGGAATCCAGAGATCTCTGTGGGGGGGAGAGGGCGTGAGAGGGGTGTAAGGAGTGGGCATGAGAGTCGACGCACCTCTGTGTCTAGATGGAAGGAGGAGAGGAGCTTATCTCACCTGCATGCTGCCCTTCACCCCTGCCGGTGCTTCCATGACCAGCACGTCACACGCCTCCACCAGCTTGGGAGGAGGCACCTCTGTGTCTAGATGGAAGGAGGAGAGGAGCTTATCTCACCTGCATGCTGCCCTTCACCCCTGCCGGTGCTTCCATGACCAGCACGTCACACGCCTCCACCAGCTTGGGAGGAGGCACCTCTGTGTCTAGATGGAAGGAGGAGAGGAGCTTATCTCACCTGCATGCTGCCCTTCACCCCTGCCGGTGCTTCCATGACCAGCACGTCACACGCCTCCACCAGCTTGGGAGGAGGCACCTCTGTGTCTAGATGGAAGGAGGAGAGGAGCTTATCTCACCTGCATGCTGCCCTTCACCCCTGCCGGTGCTTCCATGACCAGCACGTCACACGCCTCCACCAGCTTGGGAGGAGGCACCTCTGTGTCTAGATGGAAGGAGGAGAGGAGCTTATCTCACCTGCATGCTGCCCTTCACCCCTGCCGGTGCTTCCATGACCAGCACGTCACACGCCTCCACCAGCTTGGGAGGAGGCACCTCTGTGTCTAGATGGAAGGAGGAGAGGAGCTTATCTCACCTGCATGCTGCCCTTCACCCCTGCCGGTGCTTCCATGACCAGCACGTCACACGCCTCCACCAGCTTGGGAGGAGGCACCTCTGTGTCTAGATGGAAGGAGGAGAGGAGCTTATCTCACCTGCATGCTGCCCTTCACCCCTGCCGGTGCTTCCATGACCAGCACGTCACACGCCTCCACCAGCTTGGGAGGAGGCACCTCTGTGTCTAGATGGAAGGAGGAGAGGAGCTTATCTCACCTGCATGCTGCCCTTCACCCCTGCCGGTGCTTCCATGACCAGCACGTCACACGCCTCCACCAGCTTGGGGGCGATGTGAGGCAACTCAAGAGTGGAAGGAGAGAAAGGGAACAACAGTGCAAGGGAGAAGAGGAGTAAGCTGAGTATCTCACCTGCATGCTGCCTTTGACTCCAGCCGGTGCCTCCATGACCAGCACGTCACATGCCTCCACCAGCTTGGGAGCGATGTGAGGCACCTCAAACTACTAGTGGAAGGAGAAAGGGGACAGCAACACGAGAGAGTCTCACCTGCATGCTGCCTTTGACTCCAGCCGGTGCTTCCATCACCAACACGTCACACGCCTCCACCAGCTTGGGCGGCATCAGCCGCACAGCTGCCCCCGCCGCTTCCACCGTCAGCACCAGCTGGAAGTCCCGATGCACTGGCACGGATCGAGCCGCCTCCACCGTTGATCGACCTCCCTCCACCGTCGATCGGCCTCCGTCCACCGTCGATCGACCACCTTCCACCGTCAATCTTGCGCGTGACTGTAACGAGTTGAGCAGCAGCTGAAGCCAAGCAGCGTGCCTGGGCACGGATAGGGCCAGGTGGGCATTGCACAGCACCACCCACCGCCCCTCCCTCGCTCCTGTCTCCACCGCCCGCTGTGCTGCTGCCACTGCGTCGTCTGACCCCATAGCCACCGCTACAACCTGAGGGCCTGCAGCGGCTGTAGCAGAGGCAGCAGCAGCAGTTGTAGCAGCAGTGGCTGTAGCAGTGGCTGTAGCAGTGGCTGTAGCAGCACTTGTAGCAGCAGCAGCAGCAGTGAGCATGGCGGTTGGGTCGCAGCTGCCGACGCAGGCCACCAGGATCGGGCGGGCAGGCTCGGCCCGAGCCTGCATGAACCGAGCCGCAGCAGCAGGATGCTCCATGGGATGCTCTAGTGCCATTCCGAACCTTCCTCCTCCTCCTGCTGCTGCTGCTGCTGCTGCCGCTGTTGCTTTGCTAGCAGCACTGTTATCACTGCTAGCAGCACCTCCAGCAGCATCAGCAGCAGCACTGCCAGCCCCACCAGTCCCCTGACTGATAACAGCCTCCACCAGTCGCCGCCCAGCAATGTCTGTTTGACCAGCGTTGACTGCCATTGACTCGACAAACCCAACCACTGCCTCCATTGCTGCACACCCCCTCGCTTCATAATCGTTATAAGCTGCCTCGGCAGTCAGATGCTGCAGCTCCTCTTTCACAGCAGCTTCAATCTCCCCTGCTGCTCTGCCTGTTTCTGCAGCTTTAGCAGAGGCTGTAGCATCAGGTGAAGCATCACTTTCAATAGCCAGCCCTGTAGCATACTTGGCAGAGACGGTTGTAGCCAAGCCCACCCAGTCCACGTCATCTGCCAGCCTGGCGCAGCGGGATAGGGCGAGGGCCACAGGTAGGTGGTGCCGGTACTCTGTTGCCTCTGCTGTCCTCGTTATAAGCTCACTCAGTACTGCTGCCACCAACTGCCGCACTCTTGGCTTCACAGCTACAGCACCTTCTGACTGTGCTTCTGCTGTTGCTGCTGCTTCCTCCCCTTCTGCCACGGATTTCCCACACAGTTCACCACTAGCAGCCGAAATCGCATCGTCAAACGCCCGCAGGAAGAAATCCAGCGAGAATCTGTACAGCGGCTGCTGCAGGGCGGCAGCCGCCCCAGAAAGGACGAAAAACGCCGCCGCGCCGACGTCCGCCAGCGGGGCGTACAGCGTCCGGACGGCGTCGACTTGTCTCATTACCAGCCGCACCTCTCTGGCCTTCGCCTTGACTGCTGCTGCATCCTTTTTAATCTGAGCGAGGGTTTTTGAGACTGTTGAGTCGTCCATTACAGGAGGGAGAGGGGCTGGCGTGGGGATTGGCGATTCGAGGGCTCGGGAAGACAGAGAGACTCCCACTGGCGTTTGTGCTGCCACTGCTGCTGCTGCTGCTGCTGCTGCTGCTGCTGTTGCTGTTGCTGTTGCTGCCACTCCTGACGGTCGTTTCAATCCGCTAAACATGCTGAAAGTAGGAGGAGGGGTGCTGCTGACACTACCACCACCACCACCACCACTCCCAGCCGCACGAGCAGGAGTCACAGCCACGCTCCCTGTTACCACACCTCCCGCTTCTGTCCCGTCCTCTTCTGGTGACGTCAGCACCTCAAGCAATCTCCCTTCCAGCTGGCGCAATCTCCTTCGGCATCTCTCCTGCAGCGCCGCCGCCCGGTCCCGCTGCTGCGCCACGTCAGCGCGCTCCCGGCCAATCACGCGGCTCAGCAGGTGTTGACGCAGCCAGGAGGGCGAGATTCCGGTGGTTACCACCGCAGTTTTGGATAAGAGAGAGGGGGAGAGAGGAGGGAGGAGGGACTCGGTCGTAAGGAAGAGGCGGAAGGAGGGAGAAACGTCGATTTCTCGGTTCAGCAGACGGATTTTGGACAGGGAGGGAGTGAGGGAGAGAGTGGGTGAGGAGAGCGAGGAGGGCGGAGAGGAGAGGAGGGAGTGAGAGGAGGATGAGGAGGAGGAGGGGGAGGAGAGGAGGAGGGAGGAGAGAATGGAGCTCATTTGTGAAACGTCTCTGATGATCAACGGGAGACCGAATCTGACTGCCTTCTCCGCTGCACGAGCCAACACACTCTCTTCCTCCTGTGCACTCACACACACCACCCCCCCTTCCTGCTTCCCTTCTCCTGAACCCTTGCTGTCACTCAAACCAGGAACATTTTTGGCTGTAGCACCAGAATCAGATATAACAGACTCGGCTGTAGCGGATTCGGTGCTTCCGTCTGTAGCAGTCTCAGCTGTAGCAGCAGGGGCGGAGCAGGAGAGAACCTTCCGAAGGAACTCAACCATTCTTCCAGAAGGGTCCACAAGGAGAGGCACCCTCCGGCACTTAAGCACCGATTCTGCGTTCTGTAACGCATACTCGTCCTGTGGTAACCCCATCGCCTCCCATTTCGCCCGCTCCTCCTCCACCTCCTCATCCTCCTCCACCCCTCCCCACCCCTCCTCACCCCCCTCCGCTCCCCTCTCTTGAACCCCATCCAACCCCACCTCACCCCTCAGCACACCCCCTTGCGAGAACTTCAACCCGCGGGAACCCACCACCTCCTGCCACTTAGCTAAAAGCCGCTGCCTTTCAGCCAACTCCAGCGGACCCAGATACGCCAGACTCGCGGCTCTTAGCAAAGCGTCGCCTAAGCACGCCGCCGCCCGACTCTTGAGCATCTCGCGCTGCTTCATCCAACGGTCACGCTCGTACGTCAGGTCTTTGACTAAGCTGGCGGCTCGCTGCATGGCGAGCTTTGATTGGTGGATGTCGGCTCGCATGGCTTCACAGGCGGAGAGGAGGAGGGAGTGCTCGTCGCGGCATGCTTCCATGCGCTCCTCCAGATTGCCAATGGACTCCTGATGGGTGGAGAGCGGTGAAGGGTGATGCAGGGTGGTGTGGGGGAAGGACAACAGGGAGTAAGAAAGGAAGATTTAGAGGAATGTCGGCTTGCATGGCTCCACAGGCGGAGAGCAGGAGGGAGTGCTCGTCGCGGCACGCTTCCATGCGCTCCTCCAGATTGCCAATGGACTCCTGATGGGTGCAGAGCGATGAAGAGTGGTGCAGTGCGGTGAAGGGCGATGCAAGGTGGTAGGGGGGAAGGGAGACAGGGAGGAAGACAGGAGGGTTAGGGGGGGATGTCGGCTCGCATGGCCTAGCAGGCGGAGAGGAGGAGGGAGTGTTCGTCCCGGCATGCTTCCATGTGCTCCTCCAGATTACCAATGGATTCCTGAACGCAATGAAGGTGGTGCAGAGCGGTGAAGAGTGGTGCCGAGAGGAGCAAGGGAACGGGAAGACAGGAGGCTTAGGGATGTCGGCGCGCATGGCTTCACAGGCGGAGAGGAGGAGGGAGTGTTCGTCCCGGCATGCTTCCATGTGCTCCTCCAGATTGCCAATGGACTCATGAAAGAAATGAAGGGTGGTGCAGTCCGGTGAGGGGTGGTGTGGAAGGTGAAGAGCAGTGAATGAGCGGTGCAGAGTGGTGTACGCTTGCCACTCAGAAAGCAGACTCGTGACACCACACCCACCACACCCACACACACCCACACACACACACACACCCACACACACCCACCACACCCACCACACCCACACACACCCACCACACCCACACACACCCACCACACCCACCACACCCACCACACCCACCACACCCACCACACCCATCCACACACACCCACACACACCCACACACACCCACACACACCCACACACACCCAGACACACCCACACACACCCACACACACCCACACACACCCACACACACCCACACACACCCACACACACCCACACACACCCACACACACCCACACACACCCACACACACACCCACACACACCCACACACACCCACACACACCCCCACACACACCCACACACACTCACACACACCCACACACACCCACACACACCCACACACACCCACACACACCCACACACACCCACACACACACCCACACACACCCACACACACCCACACACACCCACACACACACCCACACACACCCACACACACACCCACCTGCACGTGCTGAATCTCCTCCGCCATGCTGCCCGCCTCCCCCTCCACCTGCTCCATCTCGTCCTTTCATGCAGCACTCAGCACTCAGTGGTAACCTGATTGTGGTAACCAGAGAGTGGTAACCAGAAAGCGTAACCTCACCTGCACGTGTTGCAGCTCCTCCGCCATGCTCCCCGCCTCCCCCTCCAGCTGCTCCATCTCGTCCCTCACGGGCTGCACGGCCCTCTCATGCAGCGCTCAGTGGTAACCAGACCTGATTGTGGTAACCAGAGACTGTTAGCTCACCTGCACGTGCTGCAGCTCCTCCGCCATGCTGCCTGCCTCCCCCTCCAGCTGCTCCATCTCGTCCTTTCATGCAGCACTCAGCACTCAGTGGTAACCTGATTGTGGTAACCAGAAAGCGTAACCTCACCTGCACGTGTTGCAATTCTTCCGCCATGCTCCCCGCCTCCCCCTCCAGCTGCTCCATCTCGTCCCTCACGGGCTGCACGGCCCTCTCATGCAGCGCTCAGTGGTAACCAGACCTGATTGTGGTAACCAGAGACTGTTAGCTCACCTGCACGTGCTGCAGCTCCTCCGCCATGCTGCCTGCCTCCCCCTCCAGCTGCTCCATCTCGTCCTTTCATGCAGCACTCAGCACTCAGTGGTAACCTGATTGTGGTAACCAGAAAGCGTAACCTCACCTGCACGTGTTGCAATTCTTCCGCCATGCTCCCCGCCTCCCCCTCCAGCTGCTCCATCTCGGCCCTCATGGGCTGCACGGCCCGGATGATCTCCCCATACTGCACCGCTGCTTCCAGCCACGAGAACAGCGGCCCACACGCCTTGCTTGCCCTGAGAGTGATGGCGCGCAGTGAATAGGGGTGAATAGGGGAGGCAAGGGAAGACAAGGGGAGTAAGAAAGTCAGCACTCTCGGCCCTCATGGGCTGCACGGCCCGGATGATCTCCCCATACTGCACCGCTGCCTCCAGCCATGAAAACAGAGGGCCGCACGCCTTGCTCGCCCTGGTGGGACGGAGGTAAGACGCGAGGAGAGGGGAGGTTAAGGGATGAAAGAGGTGAGCATCTCAGCCCCTCATGGGCTGCACGGCCCGGATGATCTCCCCATACTGCACCGCTGCTTCCAGCCACGAGAACAGCGGCCCGCACGCCTTGCTCGCCCTTGTGATGATAACACACAGTGGATAAAGCAGGAGATGGAAGTGAAAGAGTCAGCACTCTCGGCCCTCATGGGCTGCACGGCCCGAATGATCTCCCCATACTGCACCGCTGCCTTTAACCACGAGAACAAAGGCCCACATGCCCACTGACTCTCTACAGTTCACATGCCCACTGACTCTCTACGGTTCACATGCCCACTGACTCTCTACGGTTCACATGCCCACTGACTCTCTACGGTTCATCTGCACACCCTCACCGCCATATTGTGTGCTTCCATGCTCACCTGTTGACAGCGTCAAAGGAGATCACCGGCTCGTCCAGGTACTCTCTCTCTTCACACGCAGTACCAGCGCGGGGTCCTATGCTCTACACCTTACCACACATTCGCTCTCTCTCTTACCTGTTGACAGCATCAAATGAGATCACTCTTGCGTCCAGGTATTCCCGCTTCACACGCAGCACCAGCACAGGGTCTATGGCCTCCATATCGCATCCCAGTGGAGAGGAGACGCTTTCCGAGGTGACTAGTTCGGTTCGCCTCACATCCTCCAATATCGTACGGAATCGGCTCACCTGTTGACAGCATCAAAGGAGATCACTCGAGCGTCCAGGTACTCTCTCTTCACGCGCAGCACCAGCACGGGGTCTATGGCCTCCATATTGCTGTGCATCCCAGTATAGAGGGGATGCTGCTAGTAGTTGCCACCACTACTACCGTTCACCACACATTGACTCTCTCTCTCACCTGTTGACGGCATCAAAGGAGATCACTCGCGCGTCCAAATACTCTCTCTTCACCCGCAGCACCAGCACAGGGTCTATGGCCTCCATATCGCATCCCATCGCATCCCAGTGTAGAGGGGATGATTCTTGTGACTACTGCGGTTCACCGCTGCAGAATGCTACCACGGTATCCTACAGATTCACAGCTCACCTGTTCACAGCGTCAAAGGAAATGACTCGCGCGTCCAGGTACTCTCGCTTCACGCGCAGCACCAGCACGGGGTCTATGGCCTCCATATCGCATCCCAGTATAGAGGGGATGAAGTCGTTTCGCCGCACGACAGAGAGAATGCCCTGCCACGTGGTGGGCTTTAAACCCGTCAGGAGGAGACATACACCCTCGAGGGTCTGGTGTTTAAGCGAAGGGTCAGGTGGGGGGGAAAGGAGGGGGAGTGGGGAATGGAGGAAAGAAGTCGTTTCGCCGCACCACAGAGAGAATGCCGTGCCACGTGGTGGGCTTTAAACCCGTCAGCAGCAGACACACGCCCTCTAGAGTCTGTTGTTGTGGGAGTGGTGGAGGGGGTATTGGAGTGGAGGAGAGGGGAGGGAGGATGAGTAGGGGAGAGAAGCCGTGTCGCCTGACCACCGAGAGAATGCCCTGCCACGTGGTGGGCTTCAGCAGCAGGCACACGCCTTCAAGAGTCTGGTGTTGTCAGGGAGGAGAGGAGGGAGACGGGGGGGGGAGAGGGTGTGAGTGGAAGAGAGATGTTGTTTCGGAGCACCACCAGTTTAATCGCGCTCGGAGGATTCGGCATGGCCTTGAGATCATTCAGCTGCGACTTCCGTATCGGCTTCACCGCCGGCTTGGCCGCCTTTACCCCCAGGCTTAGTCCAATTCAGTGCACACAACACACAGCCATGTCACCAAGCACTCACCAGTTTAATCGCACTCGGCGGGTTGGGCATGGCCTTGAGATCATCCAGCTGTGACTTCCATATCGGCTTCACCGCCGTTTTAGTTGCCAATGCCCCCAGCTTGACCCGGTTCAGGCCCACACACACGTCAGAACTCAACTCACCAGCTTGATGGCACTGGGTGGATTCGGCATGGCCTTGAGATCATCCAGCTGGGATTTCCTGATCGACTTCACCGCCGTTTTCGCCGCATCAACCGCCGGCTCTACCCTTTCCAGATTCTCCTGCGCCTCCCTCCTATGCCTCTCCACACTCCTCGCCTGCTCGTCCAACCTCGCAATCAGCCCCTGAGCTTCCTTCCTCTGCCTCTCCGGGGCCACGGGCAGACACGGGCCTTACACACACATAGACAGAACCACTCACCAGTTTAATTGCGCTCGGTGGATTCGGCATGGCCTTCAAATCGTCCAGCTGGGATTTCCTGATCGACTTCACTGCAGTTTTCGCCGCATCAACCGCCGGCTCTACCCTTTCCAGATTCTCCTGCGCCTCCCTCCGGTGCCTCTCCACACTCCTTGCCTGCTCGTCCAACCTCGCAATCAGCCCCTGGGCTTCCTTCCTCTGCCTCTCCCCTAGCGCTTGCTCAGCCGCAATCTGCTGCAGCTTCCCGTTCGCAGCAGCCTCTTTCACTTGGAGTTCCTTTGATTTGAGCTCCAAGTGTTTTCGGAGGAGTACTACGCGGTGCTCTGCGGCGGTGACTTTCGTGAGGCCCAGGGAGAGGTGCTGGAAGGTGCGGTGTGCGCGGCGGTGCGAGTGGGAGACAGAGGAGTGGAAGTGGGTGAGGAGGTCTGAGAAGGAGCGGAGGGAGATGAGAGAGTCTGGGGAGAGCGAATGCTGCAAGCTCCCCTCCTGCTGCTGCTCCCCTCCCAGCCCAGCCTTCCCAAAAGCTCTGTTATTGAGCGACTCGCTAACAGCACTAACAGCGCAGCCATGAATTGCCACCAGAAGCTCCGCCAGCAGCTGCCTCTCCTTCGCTTCCCCAGCCCCACCAGCAGCACCACCATCCGCAGCATCAGCCAGCATATCAATCTGCTTGGAGTCTCCTCTTCCTCCTGCCCCTCCTGCTCCTCCTCCTACTCCTCCTCCTGCTCCTCCTCCTGCTCCTCCTGCTGCTGCAGCAGCTGCGGCTGAGACAGGGTGAACCAGCGAAACACCGGCGAGGCGACTCCGAGCAAGCGGAGCCAGACCCGTGTCCCCCCAGGGCGGTAGCCAGAGCACGGTGCAGCGGTTGAAGAGAGCCGGGGACGCCAGCATGCTCTGGCGCATGTGCGCGCTGCCCTGGCTGGCCATCGTCAGCACCACGTGCAGGTTGGATTGGATCCTCCTCCTGAACCCCGCCCACACCTCCTCCTCCGGCTCAGAAGCCACGCGAAGGAATTCAAGCAGCTCCTGCAGAAAAACAGGGGTTTTGCGGTACAGGGGTTGGGGTTGAAGGTGAGGGTTTGGGGGTTTAAGGTTTAGGGTGTGAAGGGACGCCAGCATGCTCTGCTGCATGTGCGCGCTGCCCTGGCTGGTCATCGCCAGCACCACGTGCAGGTTGGATTGCACTCTCCTGCGGAACCCTGCCCATGCTGCCTCCTCGCTTCCCTCCGCCTCCCCTCGCTGCCGGAGGGATTCAAGCAGCTCCTGTAGGGAAAGAGGGGTTCAGAGTACTGGTACAGGGTTAAGAAGGAGCCAGACCCGTGTCCCCCCAGGGCGGCAGCCAGAGCACGGTGCAGCGGTTGAAGAGAGCCGGGGACGCCAGCATGCTCTGGCACATGTGCGCGCTGCCCTGGCTGGTCATCGCCAGCACCACATGCAGGTTCCCTTGGATCCTCCTCCTGAACCCCGCCCATGCTGCCTCCTCGCTTCCCTCCGCCTCCCCTCCCAGCCGGAGGGCTTCCAGCAGCTCCTGCAGGGGAAAAAGGGGTTGGGTACAAGGTTCAGGGTTTAAGGTTCAGGATACAGGGTTCAAGGTTCAGTTAGGTTGTCTTCTATCCTCCTTTTGAACCCCGCCCATGCTGCCTCCTCGCTTCCCTCCGCCTCCCCTCCCAGCCGGAGGGCTTCGAGCAACTCCTGCAGGGGAAAGAGGGGTTGGGTACAAGGTTCAGGGTTTAAGGTACAGGATACAGGGTTCAAGGTTCAGTCAGGTTGCCTTGTATCCTCCTTCTGAAACCCCGTCCACGCTGCCTCCTCGCTTCCCTCAGCCTCGCCGGCCAGCCGGAGGGCTTCAAGCAGCTTCTGCAGGGAAAGAGGGGTTTGTGGTTCAGGGTGGGGCGTCTCAGCCGTTTCACCTGCTGCTTCTCTGCCCCTAACACCCCAAACACCCCTCTCTCAAGCACTGCTCTTACGACTTCTCAAAATCCTCACCTGTTGCTTTTCCACTCCAAACAGACCAAGAACATCCCCCCCTGTGAGAAGCGAGTTGAGTCTTTCCAAGACAGCGCTCTCCACCAGATGCGCCTCCTCCAGAACAAGACAAACGCGCCGCCCGTCGCACCCCGCCGCCCGCAGCGCCTCCTCCAGCGGGCCGTCCAGCTCGCGCTCTTCGAATCCCGCGTGTAGCGCCACCCGCACCTCCACCAATCCCGTCGCAGCGATTGCGGATCTGCGAGCATGTGATTGGCCAGCAAGGGTTATGAGGAGGAGAGGAGAGGAAGGCATTTAGGGTTTAGGGTTTAGAGTTGGAACCAGGCAGGGACCTCCAATCCCGCGTGCAGCGTCACCCGCTCCTCCACCAATCGTGTCACAGCGATTGCGGACCTGCGCACATGCGATTCGGAAACCATCGTGGGTAAGAGGGGAGGGCAACCAAGGAAGCACATGGAGGGAACGCCACCTGCACCTCCACCAATTCCATCGCAGCAAAGGAACCACCCACACACACAAACAGAAATCCTGCACACTTACCTGGAAAACAGTCGACTTCCCTGTGGCCGGGGTCCCAGCAGCAGCAGATGCCCCATGGGCTGCTGCAACACTGACGGCGCTCTCACCACCGCACACACAAACTCATGCACACACACTCAATCAGTAAGCTCTAACTTCTAAAATGAACACTAGACCCAAACCATCCATAAACCCAAAGCCTGAACCCACCTGGCAACGGTCGATTTCCCAGTCGCAGGAGGACCAAGCAGCAGCAGATGTCCCATGGGCTGCTGCAGCACCGATGCTGCTCTCACCACCGCACACACAAACTCATCGATCAATACCACCTCCCCTGCTTGCACCTCCCCTGCTTGCGCCTCCCCCTTCTCCATCCCCAGTTCTTCTGATTCTTCCAAAACCTTCCTCCCCATTTCCTCCTCCACCTCCCCTGTTCTGCTGCCTGCTGCCCGCTTTCCTGCTCCTCCTCTCCTGTCCCCGCCCTTTTCTGCTGCCCCAGCACCTGAAGAAACACCTGGTTTCACCTGGCCGGCACCTGCCCCTCCTGCGGCATCCGGGGCCTCCCCTGTCAGGGCCCACTTCAGGTGCTTTTTCAGGTGGCTCACCGCGCACGGCTCGTACCGCCCCGTCAGAAGCGACGAAAACACCAACCGGCTCGGGTCGGCAGGTAGCGAGAAAGGCACAGCAGGAACACCATCAGAAACACCATCAGCAACAGCTACAGGATTCCCTGTACTCGTTACAAGAGTGTTCCCTACAAGAGGCACGAGCATCGGGAGTATCTTTTCTGTTGCCACCCGCAGCAGCAGCTTCGCCGTCCACTCCCTCTCCTCCTCCCCCACCAGCCTATCATACCAGATCCGCATCCCCTCATGCAGCCACGTCAGGACAAGCCTTGCCGCCCAATTGTCCTCCCCATCACCACCCACAGCAGCACCACCAACGCCTGTATGTGCACTTGTCGCTCCAACCATCCCCACACCACCATACAATCTCGCACCACCAGCACTCACACGCCCCTTACCACTCACTCCACCCTTGTCACCCCTCTCAACCGCCCCTTTCTCCGTCCGCTCGCCTCCTGTCCCCCCCGTACCCCTCTTAACCGCTTTCTGCCCATGCACCAGGGCGAATCGGATGCCTCTAGTCCATCTGGTAAGCTCCCTAGGACTGCACACGTAGTGCTGCTGCACTGCCCGGGTAAACCTCGCCCCACACGCCTCATACACCTCCACCATCGCCGCTGCCAGGGTCGCACCCACCTGAGAAACCACCTGAGGGTCCACCTGAGAACCCACCTGAGAAACCACCTGAGAAACCACCTGAGGATTCCCCTGCGCCTCCACTACCACCCCAGGCCCGTACCGGGCCAATATCCCCCTTATAAAGGTGCTGTATATCCTCGTAAGAGCCGCACCAGACGGGAACGGCACATGCGCAACAGTGAGATGCCTGGTCAGGCGTACAGGCAGTTCATGCCTGCCCACGTCAGAAGCCGGATTGCAAGTGGCTGCAAATGACACCCGCCTCAGTTGCACCCAAACGCGCCTCTTGGGGTGCCAGAACCCATACGCATACCCACCGCTCCCTCCACTGCTGCTGCTACTACCACTGCTAGCACCACCACCACCACCACTGCCAACGTTATTGCTGCTGCTGCCGTGCGTATCGCCATTCCTGCTGCTTTCCCCACTACCGCCGCCCACCCCGCCCGCCGCCTGCGGAATCAGCTGCGGCTCCGCTAGCTGCCGAAGCAGGCCGGCCATGCGGATGGTGCCAAAAGCGTCAGGGGCGGGGAGATTAACCTCATCTAACAGCAGCAGCAGACGACCATCAGCAGGCACTGGATCCTTAGGTTCTAACGCCCAGTTGACACTGGAGGTGGCGGCTGCTGCTGCCACTGCTGATGCTGATGCTGATGTCGAAACCACCCCTGCTGCTGCTGCTGCTGCTGCTGCTGTTGTTTCGTGTGACCCACCAGCAGCACCAACACCAACACCACCACCACCACGAGCACCACCAGCAGGGAGCTTGACATACCGACAGTGCTGCTCCAGGTCAGCGATAAACGACTCGGGAGACGTCGACAGTGACAAATTGAAAGCTGCCACATGGAGCTTTGGCCCTGGCACTGCCGCCACCTCGGCCTCTGCCGATTGCTTGCTCCCTTCTTGCCGCTTCTGCGAAAGCTTCTCCTTTCGCTGCTGCGTCCCAACCCCACCACCAGCACCACCAACACCAGCACTACCAGCACTGCCAGCACCAGCACCACCAGCAGCGCCAGCTGCAGCAGCAGCGGCGGCAGCAGCAGCCTGTGCCTCGTCAGCGCCAGCAGCAGCCAATGCCTGCGCGACAGCTGTCAGCGCGAGAGTCTTCCCACTCCCAGGTGGGCCACAGAGCAGGATGGGCTGTGATTGGGCGAGACTGGCCCTGATCACCGCACCCAACCGCTCTGTCTCTGCTGTGGGGATAACCGTGGTTGAGTCTACTCCTCCCCCTCCTGCTCCTGCCACTACTCCTGCACCTGCTGCTCCTGTTGCTGCTCCTGCTCCTCCTGCTCCTCGTACCCCTCCTGATCCTCCCCTTCCTTCTCTTCCTGCCTTTCCAGCTGCACCCTTCACCTGTCTACCAACCTGCTTTGTAACACCCATACTGCCATTGCTCCGACCAGACACAGAATTACTCCTTCTGTAGCTCATACTCCTCTCCTCTTCCTCCTCACTTCCCTCCTCTCCCTCTTCCACCTCCTCCTCATCCCCGAAGCACCCCCCAACAGCAGCATCAGCATCAGCCAATCCAGGCAGAGCCGCCTCCCACGGCTTCCAATGGCCGCTCGCCACGTCAGCGAAACAGCTCAGCAGCTGCTCTGACGTGGCACGGCATGCCACCTCATCTTTTCCCCCACCTTCAGACGCCAAAACACAAGCTAATCGGTCTGCAAAGGCAGAGCGAGAGGTAGCATCCATTCCCCCTGCAACCCCTGCCATGATTGCCTCTACCATTGCTTTCCTGGTAAATCTCCCCACCACCGCAATAGACCCATTCGCACCTCCCTTCACCCCTCCCTCACCGCTCCGCACACCAGCCGTTTCAAGCGCATCATTCTTCGGAGTGGCTTGGGAAGCGGAGGTTCGGCAGAGGTCCGAGGTTCGGTAGCAATAGTACAAGAACACCGAGCGAAGGGCACGCATGGAATCAAAGGGAATGGAATCTGCCTCGGCCGAACCTGCAGCTGTAACGGCTGTAGCACTGGCAGCGCTGGCAGCATTGGCACCAGTAGCACCAGTACCAGCGCCACTGACACCAGCAGCAGCCTCTAGAGCCTGCTGCAGCAGCCCGCCCGGCTGTAGCGCCGCCAGCGCCACAGCCAGCACCGGCTGTAGCAGCGGCTGTGGCAGGCCGGGCGGCAGCAGCTCCAGATGCTCGTCTGGCGCGTCAATCCCGAGGGAGAGGCGCGAGGGGAGGAAGAGAGGCGCGGAGAAGAGTGAGGAGGTGAGGGAGGAGTGGGAGGAGTGGGAGGAGTGAGAGGAGTGGGAAGAAGAGAGAGTAGTGGTGGTGGTGGTAGCGGGGGTAGCTGGTGCAGGTGCTGTTGTGGTTGAGAGAGAGGGAGGGAGAGGGGAAAGAGAGGAAGAGGACGGGGAGGAGGAGGGTGGGGGGAAGGGCATGGGGGGGAGGAGGAAGCGGAAGCGGTGGAGGAGCATGGGGAGGGCGAGGAGGGAGGGGGGGAAGCAGACCACTCCGAGGCGGGAGATGGTGGCGGGAGTGGCGTGGGCGAGAGAGGGGCATTCGAAGATGCAGTGCATGTGGGGGAGGAGAGGCAGGCGCTCTCCTGTTGGCAACGTCATAACCTGTTGGGTGGCAGGGGAGGGAGGGGGCGAAGGGGAGAAGTAGGTGGAACGGTGAGGAGGGAGGGGGGAAGCAGACTACCCTGAGACGAGAGATGGTGGCAGGGGTGGCGTGGGCGAGAGAGGGGCACTCGAAGATGCAGTGCATGTGGGGGAGGAGGGGCAGGCGCTCTCCTGTGGGTAGAGTCATGACCTGATGGGTGGCAGGGGAGGGCAGACGGGGTGGGGAGCGTGGGAGAGGGGGGCAGAATGCAGAGTGTTGTGGGTGAGTGAGATGGAGGGGCACTCGAATATGCAGTGCATGTGAGGTTGGAGAGGCAGGCGCTCTCCTGTGGGTAGAGTCATAACCTGAATGTAAAGGGGAGGGGAGGGGCGCAGAGGGGTATAGTGGCGTGGCCAAAAGAGGGGCATTCGCATATGCAGTCCATGTGGGGGAGGAGCGAGAGGCGTTCGCCTGTAGGCAGGCAGAGTCATGACAGATCAGCCTCACCCTACCCCACCCTTGCCTCACCCTACCCCACCCTTGCCTCGCTGTCTCACCTTATTGTCATCCAGCAGCGAGTTGAGCGTCTCAATCCAAATAAGGTCCACCTCGCCATCAAACACAAACCAGTACCATTACTGCCTCCTAACCAATCCTTGTGTCACGCCTCCCCCTGTTATCCCTTCACGCCTACCCGCTCTGTGCATCATTTCCACATTGCTCACCTTATTGTCATCCAGCAGCGAGTTGAGCGTCTCAATCCAGATTGGGTCCACCTCCCCATAAAACACAAACCAGTGCCGCCGCCTCCCCTTATCTTCCCTCCTTGTGTCGCCCCTCCCTGCATTGCCCTTTCATGCAGCCCAAGGCAATGGGTACGCCCTCTCACCTTGTTATCATCCAGCAGTGAGTTGAGAGTCTCTATCCAAATGGGGTCCACCTCGCCATCAAACACAAACCAGTGCCGCCGCCGCCACTCCATGCCCCTCCCCGCATTCCCTCCTGTTCTTTCCCGCATCTCCCCTCCTCCATCGCCCTCCTCCCCTTCCCCTTCCATCCCTTCCCTCCTCTCCCTCTCGCCCTCCGTTTCCTCTTCTTCCACCCCCTCCGCCACCCCATCTCTCCCTGTCTCCCGCTCCCTCTCCTCCTCATACTCTCGCACGACGGCCCTTAAAGCCCGGGTGAACACGCCGTCCTGCCACTCCCGAGTAGTCGCCTCAACGCTCCCAAACAGCGCCTCCTTGGAGAGACTCTTTGGATCCACCACTGTCACGGACACCTGCACTCCGCTTGTCACTTGTAAGGCCTCACGTAGCACTGCACGCAGGGAGGAGAGGCAGGGGAGAAGAAAGAGGGGGGAGAGAGAAGAGCATTGGGTGAACGCGCCGTCCTGCCACTCCATTCCCGGGTGGTGGCTTCAACGCTCCCAAACAGCGCCTCCTTGGAAAGACTCTTTGGATCCACCACTGTCACCGACACCTGTACGCCTTGCGATGTCTCTAAGGCCTCACGCAGCACTGCAGAAGGGGAATGGGGGGCGAGAGAGGGAAGGGAGGGAGGGGAGGAAGAGAAGAGGCTTGGGTGAACACACTGTCCGCCACTCCACTCCCGGGTGGATGCCTCCACACTCCCAAACAGTGCCTCCTTGGACAGACTCTTCGGATCCACCACTGTTTACAGATACTTGCAAGCCTTGCGATGACTCTAGTGCCTTGCGCAGCACTGCACACAGGGAGGAGACACGGGGGAGTAAGGAGAGACGGGGGAGGCGAAGGAGAGGGTGGTTGCCTCAACGCTCCCAAACAGCGCCTCTTTGGAGAGACTCTTTGGATCCACCACTGTTTACAGATACTTGCACGCCTTGCGATGCTTCTAGGGCCTTCCGCAGCACTGCACATAGGGATGAGAGGCGGGGATAGAAGGAGAGGTTAGTGCCTCCTCGGACAGATACTTGCACGCCTTGCGATGCTTCTAGGGCCTTCCGCAGCACTGCACATCTACGCTCCAAACAACACCTCCTCGGACAGACTCTTGGGTTCCACGTGTATGAAGAAGTGTTTTGAGACGCTCCTTGGACGTGGACACGTCTCAAAGCACCTCTTCATACACCTCCTTGCACAGACTCTTGGGTTCCACCACTGTCACTGACATGTGCACCTCTTGACATGCTTCTAGGGCCTTCCGCAGCACTGACAACGAGTGAAGGACAAGATAGGGGAACGAAGAGGGCCAAGGGAGGGGAGGGCCTGATGTGAATTTTATCAAACCCATTCCCATCCCATTGCAAACCGTTCCCACGCATCCTGATCCATGCCCACCCCCATCCCAACCCCTTCCCACCCATCCTCACCTCTCCGAGCCGTGGTCTTTCCAACAGGCGGCACCACCAGCATGATCCCCTGTTGCAGCCCCATCCCTCTCGTCCTCACCTATCATCATCACCCCTAACCAACCCATCCCCACCCATCTTCACCCCTCCTCACCTCTCCAAGCAGTGGTCTTCCCAGCAGGCGGCCCCACCAGCATGATCCCCTGATGCAGCCCCATCAACCTCGCCATCTGCAGCACCTTCCTCGTCCAATCACAGCTCGCCACGTACCCCTCCCTCTCACACACCACCTCCACCGCCGCTGCCAGCTCAGCATCGCCCGTCTCCTCCACAGCCACGTCTGGAAGGTTCCGGGAAACCACCTCCCGGAAGGTTGCCACGTCAGCAGGTGCCAGCTTGGCTGCCAGCTGGCCAAAAATGCCCTGGACTAGGGATCGGGACTCCAACGGCCATCTCGACACACGGTGGGCCTCTTCGTCCTCTTCCTCCTCCTCCTCTACCTCCTCTTCCGCCCCTACCTCCTCCTTTACCTCCTCTACTATGTCCTCCTCTCCGTCCCCTTCTCCCTCCTCTGTTTCTTCCACCTGCAACACCTCCTCTCTCACCTCCGGCTCCTCCCCTTCCTCCTCCTCCTCCTCCTTCTCCTCCTCCTCCTCCTCCTCCTCCTCCTCCTCCTCCTCCTCCTCCTCCTCCTCCTCCTCCTCCTCCTCCTCCTCCTCCTCCTCCTCCTCCTCCTCTTCCTGCCTCCCCTCCTCCTTCCCCTCTTCATCCCCCCCTTGCTCCCCATCCTCTGCCTCGTAAAACTCCTCTTTCTCCTCTGATCTCACACTCCCCCCCTCCTCCTCTTCCACACATCCCTCCTCCCTACCCTCCTCACCCTTCACCTCCATCTCTCTCTCACACACCTCCTCCATACCACTTTCCCTCCCTTCCTTTTCCCCCTCAATCGCACCCCCTTCCACTACCTCGTTCATCCCCTTGCTCTCAACCTCAATCGCACCTTCTTCCACTTCCTCTTTCCTCTCCTTACACTCATTCTCACTCGCACCCCCCTCCAATTCTGTCTGCGCCAGCATAACAGACCTAGCAGATTTCAGAGCTGCTTTGAGCGCTCTCAGACTGAAATCGTACTGAGGCTGGGGGTCCAAGCATTCCTCAGACTCCTGCGGGGCAAGGTAGACAAGAGGGATGACGAGGAAGGAGCGAAATGAGAGAGTGAGAGAAGATTTCAGAGCTGCTTTCAGCGCCCTCAGACTGAAATCGTACTGGGGCTGGGGGGCCAAGCACTGCTCTGACTCCTGAGGGCGGTAAGGCGAGGGCAGGGAAACAAAAGGGGGGAGGAAGGGGGGAGGGAGGGAGGGTGTGAGGGAGCACGGAAGAGCTGCTTTGAGCGCTCTCAGACTGAAATCGTACTGGGGCTGGGGGGCCAAGCACTGCTCTGACTCCTGGGAAAGGGGGGAGGAAGGGGGAAGGGAGGGAGGTTGTGAGGGAGCAAGCACCACGGAAGAGCTGCTTTGAGCGCTCTCAGACTGAAGTCGTACTGAGGCTGGGGGGCCGAGCACTGCTCTGACTCCTGGAGGAAGGAAAAAAAGGTGTGGGCGGGATAAAGAAGAGTATCAAGGGGAAACAAGTATGGGGGAGTCAAGAGTGTCTTTAAGCGCTCTGAGGCTGAAGTCGTACTGGGGTTGGGGGGCCAAGCACTGCTCTGACTGCTGGAAAAGGAACTGGCAACCACAGAGAACCAGGAGGAAGGAAATGGGGGCGAAGCATGGACACACAACCAGCAGCAGCAGCAGCAGCAGCACCAGCACCAGCACCAGCAGCAGCACCAGCAGCAGCACCAGCAGCAGCACCAGCACCAGCAGCAGCAGCAGCACCAGCACGAGCACCAGCACCAGCACGAGCACCAGCACCAGCAGCAGCCATACCTGGAAAATGCGAGTGGCAGCATCAGCCAGCCTCTCCGCATGCGAATACCCGCACGACAGCAGAGTCACATGGGCGATGGCGCATGCATCACAAGAGGGAGACTCTGAATGTATGTGTGCGTTCATGTGCTTGTCAGAGTGCGTGTACTTGTGCATTCACACACACCTGGATGATTCGAGTGGCAGAATCAGCTAGCCTTGCAGCATGCGAGAATCCACACGACAGCAGAGTCACACGGGTGATGGCGCATGCACCAGGGATGTTCACTTTCTGTGCATTCCTGTGCTTGTACATGTGTATGCACACACCCACACAAGCCATACCTGGAATATGCGGGTGGCAGAGTCAGCCAGCCTCTCAGCATGCGAGAACCCACACGACAGCAGAGTCACATGGGCGATGGCGCATGCATCAGGGATGTTCACTTTCTGTGCATTCCTGTGCTTGTACATGTGTATGCACACACCCACACGAGCCATACCTGGAATATGCGGGTGGCAGCGTCAGCCAGCCTCTCAGCATGCGAGAACCCACACGACAGCAGAGTCACATGGGCGATGGCACATGCATCAGGGACGGCGACTGTCAGAGGACGCAGGAGGGCGGACAGGCTCTCAGGCAGGTGGTCCCTGCCTGCATAGCGCGGGTTGAGCGTCACGAATATGCCTGGGAGGGAGATGAAGGGAGGGGGTGGAGAATGGTGCGTATGGGTTAGTGACGGAAAGGGCATGGTCCCTGCCTGCATATCGCGGGTTGAGCGTCACGAATAGGCCTGGGAGGGAGTCGAAAAGGCGCGGGCGAGTAAGGGAATGGGGTAAAGTGGAAGGATGAGTCCAAATCGCCACAGTCTCACAGAGCACACACAGCAGTCCACACACAACAGCAGTAGAACATCTGCCCACTCACCAGTGGCAGGGTGCACGGGCACAGCAGTCCCAGCTTTTGGGACGTCTCAAAAGTCGTCTACTTACACGCGGATTTTATATAGAGGGTTGTTTTGTTGCTTGGAAAACTGGTTGTAACCTGCAAAGGTTACTGGTTCACGCGAGGCTCCCTGAGCACCAGCTGGCGGATTGTGCTGTTGCAACGTTACGCCACGAGGAATGACGCCCCTGAAGACTTGGACTTGTCTAGGTCGTCAGGGATTGGCCAACCAGATTTCTGGCCACGGTTGCAACAACCTGGAGTTCTGTTTTTCGAGACGTAGTGTTTGCTCAAATGCTTCGTCTTCCTCATTCTCTTTTTTTGAGGCGCCTCAAAAACCGTAGTGTTTGCTCAAATGCTTCGTCTTCCTCATTCTCTTTCATTTCCACTTGCACTGATGAAGGTGTGATTGGGGCCTGTCCCGTCACCCGAAACTAGTTTGCCTCGTTTTAATCTTTTAGTGGAATTTTGAGTCGGATTTTTTGAAACTCCTTGTTTTTAGCAGGAACTACAACAGATCGTACTGTTAATCCTCTGCTAAGGAATTCTTTTAGACTGCTGCTCGCCTAATCATATGGCTGCGGGCACAGCAGTCCCAGCCAGCACGGCCTCTCTCCTTCCCTCCCTCAGCGCGCCCTGAATCGCCACCAGGTGCTGCGAGATCGCAGACATTGTACTCTCGTCCAACCGGTTGAACTCATCCATGCACCCCGACCCTGTTTCCCCCATCCCCCCACACCCACTCACCAGTAGCAGGGTGCACACACACCCACCCACCCACGCCCACTCACCAGTAGCGGGGTGCACGGGCACAGCAGTCCCAGCCAGCACGGCCTCTCTCCGTCCCTCCCTCAGCGCGCCCTGAATCGCCACCAGGTGCTGCGAGATCGCAGACATTGTACTCTCGTCCAACCGGTTGAACTCATCCATACACCCCCACGCGCCCAGCCTCGCCACTCCCTCCAAAACCCGCCCCACCGCCGCGCTATCAAAACTCCTATCACAGGATAACGCCAAAACCGGCCGCCCGAGCTGCCGCCCGAGCGCCTTGACCGTCTCCGTCTTCCCCGTGCCAGCTGGACCAATCAGAGCGCTGCCCTGCCCGTGCCAGAGCGCTTGGGAAAGTGCGAGGAAGCAGCGGTCAGTGAGGGAGGTGCGGACGAGGGAGGGAGTACAGCCAGAGTATTCAAACCCGTAGGTGAAAGAGGCGTCGGCGATTTGAACAGAGAGGCGGTGGAGGGGAGGGAGGGACGGGTCGAGGTAGTATCGGAGGCATTTTCGCCAGGCAAAGGAGGAGAGGGAGAGCCCGTGTTGCTTCCTCTCCTTCCGCTTCTGCTTCTGCTTCTGCTGCCCTGCACACTCCATATTCTCCTTATCCTCCTCCTCCTCCTTTTTTGCCCGTGCCTGCTCCTCACGCTGCTCCACCAGCAGCGCCTTACTGCTCTCCAGCAGGTGAACCAGCACAGTTATCACCGCCTCACACTTGCCCTCCATCAACCTCCCCTCCTCGCCACCTGCCCCCTCTCCTACTCCCCCTGCTCCCCCTGCTGCTCTGCCTGCTCCTCCTCCTCTTGCCCCCGCTGCGCTCCTAGCCAGCTCTCTCCGCTCCCTCACGGCACGTGCCAGCCACTGCAGAAGCCCCTCCAGCCCCACCACCAGGGCCTCCAGACCTGCTTCCTTTCCACCCCTCTGCTTTTGAGTCGACTCAAAATCCCCCTCCAGCCCCACCACAAGAGCCTCCAGCCCTGCTTCCTTTCCACCCCTCACTTGCAACCCTTGCTCATCTACCTCCCCTTCCCCGCCTGCCAAAATCCCTTCAACCAGAACCGTCCACCTCACTTGAAGAGCTAGCAGCGCCGGCTGCAAAGGCAGCTTCCCCAGCCACTCGAGGAACCTTCCTCCATTCCTCCTGCTGCTACCGCCCATCCTCACTCCACTCCTCCTCACTCCGCCACCACTTCCCTCCTTCCCGCTGCATTTGCTCTTCTCCCTCTTCCCAGCCGCAGCAGTCGACAGCCAATCACACGCCGCCAGCTCAGCGACCGCTGACACAACCAGGTCGCTCAGAGTCGTCCGCAGCGCCATGTCGAGATCCAGCAGCCACTTGGTGGCTCCTGCTGGCTTCTGTCCTTCCGCTGACGTGGCACCCGCTGACGTGGCATCCGCTGACGTGGCACTCGCTGACGTGGCAGCACCTTCCGCAAGCTCCACCGGTCGGTGCAGCACGAGCCGCTCCCCGTCGGAAAGAGCTGCCATGATAAATACTCTCTTCCCTGCGTCCCCTGAAGGTGCAAACTTCACTACATCCTCTGCTGTACTTTCTGGCAAAATGGTATCAGAGACTGTGGATACTTCAATGCCCGAGACTGCAGTGAAGAGCTTGCGAATGTGCACGTGTACCTGACGGGGGGAGGGGAGAGAGGGGAAAAGAGGGAGTAGAATGAGGATGGGAGGGGGGCTGTGAGACTGCTGTGAAGAGCTTGCGAATGTGCACGTGCACCTGAAAGGGGTGACCAGGGGGAAGGGGGAAAGGTCAGGCCCCTAGAAAGGGGGAAGGGGGAGTGGAGGGAGGATGGGAGGGGTGCACGGATCATCATCCCCTAGAAAGCACAACCGTTCCAATATGCACATACTCATACTTAACCACAGCATACACCGCAGAGCGTGTGATTTTTTAGAATAAAAAAAAAACACATGCGCCAGAGCATACCGCAGAGCGATCAGAGGGCGATGCATATTGAGCTGCAGCAGATCATCATCGCCCAGACAGTACAGCCTCTCGCACCACTCATCATTCACATCAGAATTTTAACTCAAACTCACAGCGGAGAGATCAGAGGGCGATGCAGATATGAGCTGCAGCAGATCGTCATCCCCCAGAAAGTACAGCCTTGGCAGCATCCGCTCACACAGAAGTATCATACACACTTACACATACACATATACATGGAACCGCACACTTATACGTACAGCAGAGAGATCAGATGGCGAAGCAGAGATGAGCTGCAGCAGATCATCATCCCCCAGAAAGTACAGCCTTGGCAGCATCCGCCTCTGCTTGTCCAGATTGTCCAGATGCGGCAACTCGCACACTCACTTGACATACACCAGATCACACACACATACACGTACACATATTTTCGTGCCCACACAGAAACATACCGCAGATAAATCAGAGGGCGAAGCAGAGATGAGCTGCAGCAGATCGTCATCCCCCAGGAAGTACAGCCTTGGCAGCATCCGCCTCTGCTTGTCCAGATGTGCCTGAACCTCCAAAAGCACCCGCCCAAACACCTCCTCACAAACCGCCAAAACCTGCCGCCCGGCTCCGTCGTCCTCTTCCGCAAGTCCCTCCAGGTCGATCGCGAGAGGGCGGGCGGCGAGCGATCCCAGGAACTCCGTGAACGGGAGGGAAGCTTCGTGGAAGGCGCGGTGCGTGTCGGGTAGCATCGACCGGACAGCAGGTGACGTCATGAGTGCTTCCAAACGGACCCACTTGGACTGCGCGTCTGCTAGCGCATCCACCAGCTCACTCAGCCGCCCCAGTCGCCCCTCCCACTCCCTCACAGCCTCTCTAAACGGAGGGAAGAAGGGAGACTGCTTCATCGCTCCAAGCATACTCAAATGCTCTAGCACCATTTCCCCAACCACCCCCAAATTCCCCACGATTTTCCACTTGTCTCTAAACCCCTTAAAAGCCCACTCCTGCTCGCCCCACTCCTTTTCAACCTTATCCATAAACTGTCTCAATGCCACCTCCCCCTGGACGGCAGATAAAACCTGCTCCGCTGCCGCCCGACCCTCCAAGCCTCCCAGCGCCCGAACCAGATCCCGAACCTGCAGGGTACCTCCGGCGCCGAGCCCGCCCTTGGCTTGGAACCCCAACGCTCGGGCGAGGCCTCTCCAATGGGCCTCTTGCAGCGAGGCTTTAACTAGCTTCGACACCAGACCTAGGCTCGCGATTAGTTTCCGGGCAGCCGATTGAACTGCCCGGAACGCGCCATGCTGCCCGAAAACCTCCTCCTCCTGATTCACATCGCTCAAGGCAGAGTGCAGAGGGGTTAAGTCCGATCCCGGGTTGAAATCCGCAACCCTAATCCCCTCCACAGAGGCAATAACATCCAAAAGTTGATTAATCAACAGCCACATACGCTGCATCTCCTCCCCTTCTGCAACCACCCTCTCTAACCTCCCCTCCACTCTCCCCACCTCCTCGTCCTCCTCCCCGCCCGCCCCTCCCACCAACCCAATCGCCCTCCTCACGAGCTCTATCCTCGTTTTAAGCTGCCCTACTAAGCGTGCGCACTGCACCAGCGCACCAGCAGCTCTTCCCCTAGAGCAATCCACACTAGTAGGAGCTGCAGCGTCCCACCACGTCTCAAGCTCCTCCATACACCTCCCCACCTCCCCCACATGCACCTGCACTGCACTCAACACCTGCACGCTCACAAGCCCCTGGAGGAAAACTATCCCGCTGGGAGATTCCCCTGCCACTGCTTCTACTCCTTTTCCTGCTGATTTCCCTTCCTCTCCTCCTCTCCCTCCCAATACAGCCTTTCTTGCCCATTCCAACCCTCCCCACTCCTTCTCCAGCTCTTTCCAGCTTGCCTGTACCAGCGCCACCCCAACGCCAGCACTACTGCTCCTACCACCGCTGCTGCTGCTGCTAGTGCTCCTTTTCCCCTTGCCACTTCCCCCTCCCCTAGCAACCGCCGCCTCTACTAACGGCCTGACTTTCTCCACTCCCTCATTCACCTCTACTACCCTCCTCTCCGCCTCCCTCACTCTCTCTAGATGCTCTATCAGCCTCCACACATCCCCACTCAACCCTTCACCCTTACCAGCACCACCATTACCCACACCTGCCTTGTTCTCCGCTCCCCCCGCTCCCTCCTCTTCCTCCTCTTCCTCCTCACCCTCCGCCTCCTCGCCCTCCTCGCCCTCCTCTCCCGCTCGCACCTTCCTTTGCTCCCTTCCTCTCTCCGTAACTTCCCCTTCCGCCTCCCTCTTAATCCTTTCTAATAGTTTCTTCAGCTCAGATACCTCTTTAATCGCCTCGTTACATCCCCGAACCGCCCTGCCTTCTATATCCTCCTCAGCCGCCCGTATCCAAGCCTCACACCGACCCACCAGTGCCTCCCTCACCGAGCCTGCGTCCAAGGCTAAGAGCGAGGTTCTGTCAGCTGCGCCGAACCTAACCACCGCAGGTTTGGCAGCCAGCTGGTTCCGAACCTGCTGAACTTCGTTCATAAGGGAACGCCAGAGTTCAGTCGAAGACGGGGGAAGGGAGGTGTTGGAACTTTCGCTAACAGCAGCTGGGGCAGCAGCAGCAGCACGGGCACACCTTTCCAGCTTTCCCTCCGCCTGCGCCACTCTCACCCTCCACTCGCCCACCCACCCCTCAGCCGCCCCTACCACCGCCTCCACCACCCCATACGCACAAGCCTCCAGCCGAGCCGGAACCACAAAGCTCACTACTAACAGACTGCCCACACTAGCCCCGCCTCTCGCCGTGCTGTGATAGCTATCCGCGCTGACGCTGCTGCTGACGTCATTGAAGTTACCAGCAGCCTCGGGATGATGCAGGGAAGCAGAGGAGGAGGAGAGCATGCCGCTCACTTCAGCAGCAGCAGAGAGAGCGGGAGTGGGAGTGGGAGAGAGCAAGAAAGCAGCAGAGGCGGAGGAGAGGACACTGTTGGCCTCTGCAGCAGCAGAGAGAGCGGGAGCGAGCAGCAGCTGAACACAGTCCTGCAGCCGCTGCTGAGACTCGCAGAGAGGAGGCTGTACCTCCACCTCCATCCTGCCACTCGCTCCTCCTCCTTCCACTCTCACCGCCCCTGCGCCTGACCCCCTCACAGCCACTCGGTGCGTCAGCATCCCCATCTGCTCCTGCAGCAGCTGCAACACAAACGACTCAGTCTCACTCCCATCTTCCCCCTTCGACTCTCCTCCTACAACCCCTGCCGCCCCTGCCGCTCCTGCCGCTCCTGCCGCTCCTGCCGCCCCTGCTGCGTCGGCTCCTCCACCTGCTCGTTCCTTCCCTACACCAGAGGGCTGATGCAGTGAAAGCACAGCCTCAATCTCTCTCACCACCACCTGCAGACCACCAACCTTCTCAGGAGATCCCTTAGAAGCCTCATTAACCCTTGCAGCCGCCGCCGCCGCCGCAGCAGCAGCAGCAGCAGCAGCAGCAGAAGCTGTAGCAGATTTGGCACCCGTGGCGGCTGTAGCAGCAGCTGTAGCAGCAGGAGAGTCTCGTCCAATCAGGTCCTTCCATTTCTTCAGCCAGCAGCAGAGGGCTGACGTCAGCTTCTGCTGCAGCACAGCCTGTGCTTGCATCAGCAGCGGGGCGGCCCACGTGGCAGCCACCTCACGCTGCCACACTGCTAACGTGGCAGCTGACATGGCAGCCGGGTAAGGCGGCCGGGAGATCGCTGCGATTACCGCGTGCGCCAGCTGGCGGAGATGAGTTGGCAGGTCCTGATTCGGTGAGAGGGGATGGAGGAAAAAAAAGAGGACGGAGAAAACATAAAGGTTAGACGCTTTGTGCTATTAGACAAAACTCTTTAGAGCAAGCTCATGGTTTCGGCAATGCCATGCAGCGTCATGCCTCTCCTTGACCTTAGCAGCAGCAGTGGCAGAGCGGGCTTAGAGGCTCTCACCTTATAGACTTAGCTGCTGTAAGCTCCCACCAGCACACGATCGGACACGCTTAAGGCACTGCCATGCCGCCTCGTGCCTCACCTTGGCCGCAGCAGCAGCAGATGAGAATGCCTCCACAGCATCCCACAGGCACACGCCTTACAAGCACACACCCTCCAATCCAACCACCGGCACACACACACACACTCACCTTATAGGCACAGGAACGAATCCGCTCAAGGCACTGCCATGCCGCCTCATGCCTCTCTTTGGCTGCAGCAGCTGCAGATGAAAATGCCTCTACAGCATCCCACAGGCACACGGCGAACTCATCCACCTCGTCCTCCTCCTCCCACACCACTCCCTGGCCTGCAGGGGGGGGGGAATTGGGAGAAGCAAGGGGGACCATGAAGGGAAGCCAGAGGACAACGGAGTGGTTGAGATGGGTAACAGGCTCAAACACTAAGTTCCCTCCTCTGCATCCCACAGGCACACTGTCAACTCATCCACGTCGTCCTCCTCCTCCCACACCACTCCCTGGCCTGCAGCGAGTTCAGAATGGGAAGCCAGGGACACAGGAGGAACGGTTGGGGAAGCGAAAGAGGTTGGGAAAGGGTGAGTTCTCGGTTTGACTCAGACACACCAAGCTCCCTTTTCTGCATCCCACAGGCACGCTGCGAACTCATCCACCTCGTCCTCCTCCTCCCACACCACACCCTGGCCTCGAGTGGAGAATTTGGTTTAGGGGGTGGATGAAGCAAGGGGACAAAACAAAGGAGTGGTTAAAATGGGTGGCTGGCTCAGACACACCAAGCTCCCTCCATTCCATCCCACAGGCACACTGCAAACTCGTCCTCCTCCTCCCACACCACGCCCTGGCCTGCAGAGAGGGGATTGGGTGGAGCAAGAGGGACCATGAAGGGAAGCCAGAGGACAACGGAGTGGTTGAGATGGGTAACAGGCTCAAACACTAAGTTCCCTCCTCTGCATCCCACAGGCACACTGTCAACTCATCCACGTCGTCCTCCTCCTCCCACACCACTCCCTGGCCTGCAGTGCGGGCAGTAGGGGAACCAAGGTAACATGAGGGGAAGTCAGGAGACAATGGAGTGGAAGGGGAGACTCATGCGCCAAGTTCCCCCCACGGCATTTGAGGCACGTCAAAAGTCGTCTCTTATCCTGCAATAGACATTGGAGTGGAAGGGGAGACTCATACGCCAAGCTTCCCCCCACGGCAACCCACAGGCACACCGCCAACTCGTCCTGCTCCCTCCTCCTCCCACACCACTCCCTGACCTGCAACGGTGGGCAAGGGTGAGGTGAAATGGGGGAAAGCAAGGGGGAACATGAGGGGAAGTCAGGGGACAAAGGAGTGGTTGAGATGGGTGGCTGACTCAAACACACACCCAGTTCCCTCCTCGGCACGACAGCACCCCACAGGCACACTGCAAACTCGTCCTCCTCTTCCTCCTCCTCCCACACCACGCCCTGGCCTGGAGTGATGGGAGGGAGCGAGATGAGATGGGTGGCTGACTCAAACACACACCCAGTTCCCTCCTCGGCACGACGGCACCCCACAGGCACACTGCAAGCTCGTCCTCCTCTTACTCTTCCTACACCACAACCCATTCTCTATTCTTCTTTCTTCCTCAATAGACGGACTAGATATATCTTCCACCGTCCCTCTTCCCTACCCACACCTTTAAATTATGACTCGCCGTTTTGTACTATCCCCATCCACCATTTACCGCTCTGCATTATCCCCAACCCCCCCTTACTGCTCTACAATCAAGTCTCACCGCTCTGCATTATCCCCAGCATCGCTTTCCTTGACGTCGCCACCAGCGGCAGCACGCTTTTGCTTCCGGACTGCATCAACCACTCACTAGACTGCAGTACCCCCACCATTGCTTCCTCACCCGCGTGCCCACTCACCGTTCTGCATTAACCCCAGCACCGCTTCCCTTGTTACCGCCACCAGCGGCAGCACGTCCTTCCTTCCGGACTGCATTATCCAAAAACAAAAGTGCCGACTCACCGCTCTGCATTAACCCCAGCACCGCTTGTGCCGACTCACCGCTCTGCATTAACCCCAGCACCGCTTGTGCCGACTCACCGCTCTGCATTAACCCCAGCACCGCTTGTGCCCACTCACCGCTCTGCATTAACCCCAGCACCGCTTGTGCCCACTCACCGCTCTGCATTAACCCCAGCACCGCTTCTCGCGAAGCCGCCACCAGCGGCAGCACGCCCTTGCTGACGCCAGCGCTGACGTCAGCGAAGCTCTCGAGCGCTCTGGAGATGGTGGAGGCGGAGGAGGCGGCAGCAGAGGCGGAGAGGGCGCAGGCGAGCAGGTGGTGCGGGATGTGGAAGCCTGATGCCCGAAGGGTGCGGACTTCTTCACTCAAATGGAGAAGACTCGCCTTGTATTGCACCTGAAAAGGGGGTTTGCAGGTGGTAAGGGGGCGGGAGAGGTGGGAGGATAGGAGTGGAAAAGCAGACAGGCAGAGGAGCAGAGGCAGAGGAGGGGAGTTAGATCGGGGCAAGGCGGGGATGGTGGAGGCGGAGGAGGCGGCAGCAGAGGCGGAGAGGGCGCAGGCGAGCAGCTGGTGGGGGAAGCCTGATGCCCGAAGGGTGCGGACTTCTTCACTCAAATGGAGAAGACTCGCCTTGTATTGCACCTGGTGGGGGGAGAGGTGGGGATGGAGAGAAGAGGAGGGGCGGATAAGCAGAGAGCAGGTGGTGGGGGACGTGGAAGCCGGATGCTCTAAGGGTGCGGACTTCTTCACTTAGATGGAGAAGACTCGCCGTGTATTGCACCTGAAAGGGGGGTTAAGTAGGGGGATAGGCAGCATGAGGATGCGGCGGCAGAGGCGGAGAGGGCGCAGGCGAGCAGGTGGTGCGGGATGTGGAAGCCTGATGCTCGAAGGGAGCGCACCTCCTAGCCTGATGCAGGAGGCTCGCCTTGTACTGCACCTGGTGGGGGGATAGGTGGCATAGGGAGCAGACAGGCAGGGCAGAGGGGCAAGGGGCAGAGGGCAGGCGGTCAGGTAGGGGGAGAGGGGCATTAGGGGAGATGGTGGAGGCGGAGAGGGTGGAGGCGAGCAGGTGGTGCGGGATGTGGAAGCCGGATGCCCGAAGGGAGTGATTGGGGGATGATTGGGCAGAGGGGCGGAGAGGCAGAGAGGCAGACAGGGAAAAGGGAAGAGGGCGGATGGGCAGAGTGGCAGAGGCAGCACCCCACCCCGCGCCTTTGAGTCGACTCAGAGGCAGCACCCCACCCCGCGCCTTTGAGTCGACTCAGAGGCAGCACCCCACCCCGCGCCTTCCACCCCACATCTCTCAACCTCACCTGCAGCTTCTTTCACCAAAAGTCACCGCTGTCTCTCTCTTCCGTACCTGCGGCTGTAGCAACAGCTCGGCCTCTTTCTCTCACCTGCAGCTGTAGCAGCGGCTCTGCCTGCTCCTCCTCCCCATACACAAGGCGCGTGTGCCTCATCTCCCCGTCCTGCCAGTGTCCCACCCCTAATCGCCCACCTCTCTCCCCCTCACCTGCAGCTGTAGCAGCGGCTCCGCCTGCCTAGCATCCCTGACGCCCCCCAGTACGCGCAAGGACAAAAAGGTCACCTTTCTCCCTCTCCCCCTCACCTGCAGCTGTAGCAGCGGCTCCGCCTGCTCCTCCTCCCCATACACAAGTCGTCTGTGCCTCATCTCCCCGTCCTGCCAGTGTCCCACCCCTAACCTTCCACCCCTAACCTTCCTCCCCTCATTGTCTCTCCCCCTCACCTGCAGCTGTAGCAGCGGCTCCGCCTGCTCCTCCTCCCCGGCTGTAGCCGCGCTGCTGTTGCTGACGTCAGCCAGGGGCGGGCGGGACGAGCAGGAGGTGAGCACAGGGCCTCTGAGAGCCTCCTCTGCTTCCTCCGCGCTCATGCTGCTGCTGCTGCTGGTGCTGCCAGTGTGGGGAGCGAGCTTCTCTTGCAGCCACTGATTGACGGTCTGAAGGGAGAGTGGAGGGATGGACGAAGGGGGAGAGAGAGAGTCACTTGTGAGGGGGACGAGCAGGGGGACGAGCAGGGGGACGAGCAGGGGGACGAGCAGGGGGACGAGCAGGGGGACGAGCAGGGGGACGAGCAGGGGGACGAGCAGGGAGCGAGCTTTTCTTGCAGCCACTGATTGACGGTCTGGAAGGGAGAGTGGATGAAGATGGATGGGTAGATGGGGAGGAGAGGGAGACAGTTGTTAGGGGTGGGAGGGACGAGCAGGGGGCGAGCACAGGGCCTCTGAGAGCCTCCTCTGCTTCCTCCGCGCTCATGCTGCTGCTGCTGCTGGTGCTGCCAGTGTGGGGAGCGAGCTTCTCTTGCAGCCACTGGTTGACGGTCTGAAGGGAGAGTGGATGGATTCAGGGGAGAGAGGGAAACATTCGTTAGGGCGGGACGAGCAGGGGGCGAGCACAGGGTCTCGTAGGGCCTCCTCTGCCTCCTCCGCACTCATGCTGCTGTTGTTGCTGGTGGTGGTGGTGGGAGCGAGCTTTTCTTGCAGCCACTGGTTGACGGTGTGGAAGGGAGAGTGGATGGGTGGATGGGAGAAAAGAGAGGGAGACACTCGTTAGTAGCGGGCAGGACGAGCAGGGGGCGAGCACAGGGCCTCTGAGGGCCTCCTCTGCCTCCTCTGCCTCCTCCGCACTCATGCTTCTGCACATGGTTGGTGTTGCCAGTAGCGGGAGTTATCTCTTCACACACAAACACGCACTTTCTGAGGGTCCGTCTGCTGCAACGCCTCCTCCAGCAGCCGAGCAATCGACCTCCGCAGCCCACCGTCCGTCACCGCTCCCCACCCCGCCCCACCACACTCAACCCCTCCCTCCCCATCTCCACCCATCCCCACCGCTCCCCCCGCGCCTCTTCCCCTCCTGCTCCCTCCCCTCCCCGCCCGACCAATCCCGCTGCGCCAGCTGTCACCCAGCAGAGCGTGCAGGGCCGCGTCTAGCGCCCTCAGCTTCCCGTGAATGGCTTTGGCGCGAGCCACTGAGGCGGCAACACGTGGCACGCCCCTGAGCTGGGCAAGAGAGGACACGTGGCAGGCTGCGGTTGGGTGCCATAGCTGCTCCTCCAGTGCTTGCACGTCTGGCGAAGGGGAGACGGGGAGTGGGGAGGGGGGTGGGGGATGGGGAGGGGGAGGGGAGATGGGAAAGGGGATGGGGAAGGGGAATGGGGAGGGCGGATGGGAAGGAGAGTGGGGGAGGGGGAATGGGGAGGCGGAGAGGAAACGGAAGATGGGGAATGGGAAGGAAAGGTGAAGGAGTTGGGGAATGGGGACGGGAGAGCAGAGGGGGAAAGGGGATGGGAAATAAATGGGGGAGGAAGGAAGAAACGGAAGGGGGGCGGTGGAAGGGTGGTAAGGGCAGAGGGAAGCAGCACATTCAAAAGGTTGCAGACAGAATGTGTTTTTTGGGAACTCTCGAAAGGGTTGCAGACACCTCTCCCACCATTCTTTCAGAAAGCAGCAGCTATCGTGCAACATCTGCCTTGCAACTACCATACACCTCGACTGGTGGCATTCAAAAGCGTCATACGCCCCTCTCACCTGCTGCCACCTCGTGCAGCATTTGCTGCAAGTCGTGCTGCAGGCGTGCTGACACCTGCCGTGGTGGTGGGGAGGAGGGTGGAGGACGGAGAGGGAGGGAAGGCAGAGGAGCAGCAAGGGAAAAAGTGGGACGACTGTATGAACAACTGAGAGCAACCATCCTTGAAGGTTGAAGTGAACAAACAACCCTCTTTGGACAAGTAAGAGCGTTCCTAGTGGAGTGAACAGTCAATTGAGTCGGCTCAAGACCCACACACAACACAAGCCTACTGAAATCATACCCGCGGCAGCGCAGTAAAGGACGAGCACTGCGCCAGCAGCTGCAGCCGCCCCATGGCGGATGGCACCTCCCCCAGTCGCGCCTGCAGCAGCCCCGCCAGTGCCTCCTCCTCCCGGGCCACTGCCGCCCAGTAGATGCCCTGCGCCGCCCGCCAGCTGGCAAGGTCGCCTGTGTGTGAGCGGGGAGAGAGGGGGAGGGGAGGGTGGGGGAAGCGGTTGGAAGATGTTGAGAGGGATCGGACGAGGGAGGGAGGAGGGAGCCACACCAGAAGAGGTTTCCACAGGCTATCAGCAGTAAACCCCTGCGTATGTTCCGCACCTTCGAGAATGTCTGCCACGTGGCTGTCTGTGAGTGGCTCCAGGAAGCGCCTCCACCTGTCCACGTCAGCACCACCGGTGTTGCTGATGCCTGAGGAAGCTTCCAGGTCGCACACCAGAGCAGCTGCTGTCATCGCCTCCTCCCACCCCTCATGCTGCAGGGATGGAAAAGAGGACAAAAAGAAACTGATAACGGCGATAGGCACAAGCCAACTCTTTCAGTATCACCTCCCAGACACTTGGAGAATCTACCCTGCCGGCCAGAGAATCTAACCTGCCGCCCGAAAAATCTCACCTGCTGCCGAATGTCTATCGCTTGGTCCAGGAAAGCGCAAGCAGACGCCATTGCCACGTCAGCAGGGGCCATCGTGTGGTCCTGGCCCGGGAGCTGAGCTGGCGATGCTGGCTGCCAGGTCATGCGGCCGCATGCTGACATCAGCTGGGAGCGGCAGACGACGCTGACTAGGCGCGAGTGCAGCCGTGCCAGCTCATGCCGCCACACGTCCAGCACATCACGAGCCTCCCTTAAATCCTGGGAAGTCATCAAGGGGGAGTTGCAGAGAAGCAGTGGGATCGGAAGAGAGGGAATGGAAGAGGTCGACTCGACATGTGTTTATAAGGGGTACAGAGAAATGGGTGTGATGTGAAAGTGAGATGGCTTGGCATGGTAACCAGCTTATGAGGCACCTCAAATGCTGGTACTCACACAGACACCGTCTCACACAGACACCGTCTCACACAGACACCGTCTCACGCAGACACCGTCTCACACAGACACCGTCTCACACAGACACCGTCTCACACAGACACCGTCTCACGCAGACACCGTCTCACACAGACACCGTCTCACACAGACACCGTCTCACACAGACACCGTCTCACACAGACACCGTCTCACGCAGACACCGTCTCACACAGACACCGTCTCACACAGACACCGTCTCACACAGACACCGTCTCACACAGACACCGTCTCACACAGACACTGTCTCACACAGACACCGTCTCACACAGACACCGTCTCAAGCAGACAGAGAGGCCAGGACTCACACAAAGAGAGAAAAAAGGCAAAATCTCACAAAACCAAATACTTACAGCTAGAGCAGCCTTGGGCGGCTGCAACAGTACATGCCCACCAGATGCACCTGCACCAGTTGCCACCTTCCCCGCACCTCCACCTCCTCCCACTCCTCCCTTCCTCCCCTTCCTCCCCTCCACAACGACACTTAGCCAGCTCTTAAGTGCCGCAGCCGCTGCTCCCACCACCCCTCCCACGGCCAACACCAAGGGATCTTCCCATTGCTCCTCCTCCCCGCCTGTAGCGGCTGTAGTGGCTGTAGCGGCTGTAGGGGCTGTAGCAGCGGGAGCAGCTGTAGCAGCTGTGGCGGAAAGCCTATGGAGTGTGAGGCCTTGATTGGCGACGACCCTGCAGGAGGGAGGGGGCAAGCGAGTGAGAGGGGGAAAGGGAGTGGGAGGGGAAAAGGGAGTGAGAAGGGGGAAAGGGAGTGGGAGGGGGAAAGGGAGTTTGAGGGGAAAAGGGAGTGGGGGGCGGAAAGGAAGTGGGAGGGGGGAAAGGGAGTGGGAGGGGGAAAGGGTGTGGGAGGCGGAAAGGAATTAGGAGGGGGAAAGGGAATGGGAGGGGGAATGGGAGTGAGAGGGGGGAAAGGAAGTGGGAGGGGGAATGGGAGTGAGAGGGGGGAAAGGAAGTGGGAGGGGGAAAGGGAGTGAGAGGCGGAAAGGGAGTGGGAGGGGGAAAGGGAATGGGAGGGGGAAAGGGAGTGAGAGAGGGGAAAGGAAGTGGGAGGGGGAAAGGGAGTGAGAGGCCGAAAGGGAGTGGGAAGGGGAAAGGGAATGGGAGGGGGAAAGGGAGTGAGAGGAGGAAAGGGAGTGGGAGGGGGAAAGGGAATGGGAGGGGGCAAGGGAATGGGAGGGGGGAAAGGGAGTGAGAGGAGGAAAGGGAGTGGGAGAGGGAAAGGGAATGGGAGGGGGCAATGGAATGGGAGGGGGGAAAGGAGTGGGAGGGGGAAAGCAGCAGCAGTGCAGCAGCAGCAGCAGCAGAAGCAGCAGCAGCACTCATACTCACTCCATCAGCTGTTGAATGGCCACCCTAACCGCCTCCTCGCTTCCCCGCCCTGCTGCCCCACACGTGGATTCAAACGCCCCCACCTGCTGCGCCATCACCTCTGCTGCTGCCACTGGGGGATGGAGAGGGGGGTGAAGGAGAAATTGGGGGAATGAGAGATTGGGGGAATGAGAGATTGGGGGAATGAGAGATTGGGGGAATGAGAGATTGGGGGAATGAGAGATTGGGGGAATGTGAGATTGGGGGAATGAGAGATTGGGGGAATGAGAGATTGGGGGAATGAGAGATTGGGGGAATGAGAGATTGGGGGAATGAGAGATTGGGGGAATGAGAGATTGGGGGAATGAGAGATTGGGGGAATGAGAGATTGGGGGAATGAGAGATTGGGGGAATGAGAGATTGGGGGAATGAGAGATTGGGGAATGGAGATTGGGGAATGAGATTGGGGGAATGAGAGATTGGGGGAATGAGAGATTGGGGGAATGAGAGATTGGGGGAATGAGAGATTGGGGGAATGAGAGATTGGGGGAATGAGAGATTGGGGGAATGAGAGATTGGGGGAATGAGAGATTGGGGGAATGTGAGATTGGGGGAATGAGAGATTGGGGGAATGTGAGATTGGGGGAATGTGAGATTGGGGGAATGAGAGATTGGGGGAATGAGAGATTGGGGGAATGAGAGATTGGGGGAATGAGAGATTGGGGGAATGAGAGATTGGGGGAATGAGAGATTGGGGGAATGAGAGATTGGGGGAATGAGAGATTGGGGGAATGAGAGATTGGGGGAATGAGAGATTGGGGGAATGAGAGATTGGGGGAATGAGAGATTGGGGGAATGAGAGATTGGGGGAATGAGAGATTGGGGGAATGAGAGATTGGGGGAATGAGAGATTGGGGGAATGAGAGATTGGGGGAATGAGAGATTGGGGGAATGAGAGATTGGGGGAATGAGAGATTGGGGGAATGAGAGATTGGGGGAATGATGAGATTGGGGGAATGTGAGATTGGGGGAATGTGAGATTGGGGGAATGAGAGATTGGGGGAATGAGAGATTGGGGGAATGAGAGATTGGGGGAATGAGAGATTGGGGGAATGAGAGATTGGGGGAATGAGAGATTGGGGGAATGAGAGCTTGGGGGAATGAGAGATTGGGGGAATGAGAGATTGGGGGAATGTGAGATTGGGGGAATGAGAGATTGGGGGAATGTGAGATTGGGGGAATGTGAGATTGGGGGAATGAGAGATTGGGGGAATGAGAGATTGGGGGAATGAGAGATTGGGGGAATGAGAGATTGGGGGAATGAGAGATTGGGGGAATGAGAGATTGGGGGAATGAGAGATTGGGGGAATGTGAGATTGGGGGAATGAGAGATTGGGGGAATGAGAGATTGGGGGAATGAGAGATTGGGGGAATGAGAGATTGGGGGAATGAGAGATTGGGGGAATGAGAGATTGGGGGAATGAGAGATTGGGGGAATGAGAGATTGGGGGAATGAGAGATTGGGGGAATGTGAGATTGGGGGAATGAGAGATTGGGGGAATGTGAGATTGGGGGAATGTGAGATTGGGGGAATGAGAGATTGGGGGAATGAGAGATTGGGGGAATGAGAGATTGGGGGAATGAGAGATTGGGGGAATGAGAGATTGGGGGAATGAGAGATTGGGGGAATGAGAGATTGGGGGAATGAGAGATTGGGGGAATGAGAGATTGGGGGAATGAGAGATTGGGGGAATGAGAGATTGGGGGAATGAGAGATTGGGGGAATGAGAGATTGGGGGAATGAGAGATTGGGGGAATGAGAGATTGGGGGAATGAGAGATTGGGGGAATGAGAGATTGGGGGAATGAGAGATTGGGGGAATGAGAGATTGGGGGAATGAGAGATTGGGGGAATGAGAGATTGGGGGAATGAGAGATTGGGGGAATGAGAGATTGGGGGAATGAGAGATTGGGGGAATGAGAGATTGGGGGAATGAGAGATTGGGGGAATGAGAGATTGGGGGAATGAGAGATTGGGGGAATGTGAGATTGGGGGAATGAGAGATTGGGGGAATGTGAGATTGGGGGAATGAGAGATTGGGGGAATGAGAGATTGGGGGAATGAGAGATTGGGGGAATGAGAGATTGGGGGAATGTGAGATTGGGGGAATGAGAGATTGGGGGAATGTGAGATTGGGGGAATGAGAGATTGGGGGAATGAGAGATTGGGGGAATGAGAGATTGGGGGAATGAGAGATTGGGGGAATGAGAGATTGGGGGAATGAGAGATTGGGGGAATGTGAGATTGGGGGAATGAGAGATTGGGGGAATGTGAGATTGGGGGAATGTGAGATTGGGGGAATGAGAGATTGGGGGAATGAGAGATTGGGGGAATGAGAGATTGGGGGAATGAGAGATTGGGGGAATGAGAGATTGGGGGAATGAGAGATTGGGGGAATGAGAGATTGGGGGAATGAGAGATTGGGGGAATGTGAGATTGGGGGAATGAGAGATTGGGGGAATGTGAGATTGGGGGAATGTGAGATTGGGGGAATGAGAGATTGGGGGAATGAGAGATTGGGGGAATGAGAGATTGGGGGAATGAGAGATTGGGGGAATGAGAGATTGGGGGAATGAGAGATTGGGGGAATGAGAGATTGGGGGAATGAGAGATTGGGGGAATGAGAGATTGGGGGAATGAGAGATTGGGGGAATGAGAGATTGGGGGAATGAGAGATTGGGGGAATGAGAGATTGGGGGAATGAGAGATTGGGGGAATGAGAGATTGGGGGAATGAGAGATTGGGGGAATGAGAGATTGGGGGAATGAGAGATTGGGGGAATGAGAGATTGGGGGAATGAGAGATTGGGGGAATGAGAGATTGGGGGAATGAGAGATTGGGGGAATGAGAGATTGGGGGAATGAGAGATTGGGGGAATGAGAGATTGGGGGAATGAGAGATTGGGGGAATGAGAGATTGGGGGAATGAGAGATTGGGGGAATGAGAGATTGGGGGAATGAGAGATTGGGGGAATGAGAGATTGGGGGAATGAGAGATTGGGGGAATGTGAGATTGGGGGAATGAGAGATTGGGGGAATGTGAGATTGGGGGAATGAGAGATTGGGGGAATGAGAGATTGGGGGAATGAGAGATTGGGGGAATGAGAGATTGGGGGAATGTGAGATTGGGGGAATGAGAGATTGGGGGAATGTGAGATTGGGGGAATGAGAGATTGGGGGAATGAGAGATTGGGGAATGAGAGATTGGGGGAATGAGAGATTGGGGGAATGAGAGATTGGGGGAATGAGAGATTGGGGGAATGAGAGATTGGGGGAATGAGAGATTGGGGGAATGTGAGATTGGGGGAATGAGAGATTGGGGGAATGTGAGATTGGGGGAATGTGAGATTGGGGGAATGAGAGATTGGGGGAATGAGAGATTGGGGGAATGAGAGATTGGGGGAATGAGAGATTGGGGGAATGAGAGATTGGGGGAATGAGAGATTGGGGGAATGAGAGATTGGGGGAATGAGAGATTGGGGGAATGTGAGATTGGGGGAATGAGAGATTGGGGGAATGTGAGATTGGGGGAATGAGAGATTGGGGGAATGAGAGATTGGGGGAATGTGAGATTGGGGGAATGAGAGATTGGGGGAATGTGAGATTGGGGGAATGTGAGATTGGGGGAATGAGAGATTGGGGAATGAGAGATTGGGGGAATGAGAGATTGGGGGAATGAGAGATTGGGGGAATGAGAGATTGGGGGAATGAGAGATTGGGGGAATGAGAGATTGGGGGAATGAGAGATTGGGGGAATGAGAGATTGGGGGAATGTGAGATTGGGGGAATGAGAGATTGGGGGAATGTGAGATTGGGGGAATGTGAGATTGGGGGAATGAGAGATTGGGGGAATGAGAGATTGGGGGAATGAGAGATTGGGGGAATGAGAGATTGGGGGAATGAGAGATTGGGGGAATGAGAGATTGGGGGAATGAGAGATTGGGGGAATGAGAGATTGGGGGAATGAGAGATTGGGGGAATGAGAGATTGGGGGAATGTGAGATTGGGGGAATGAGAGATTGGGGGAATGTGAGATTGGGGGAATGTGAGATTGGGGGAATGAGAGATTGGGGGAATGAGAGATTGGGGGAATGAGAGATTGGGGGAATGAGAGATTGGGGGAATGAGAGATTGGGGGAATGAGAGATTGGGGGAATGAGAGATTGGGGGAATGAGAGATTGGGGAATGAGAGATTGGGGGAATGAGAGATTGGGGGAATGAGAGATTGGGGGAATGAGAGATTGGGGGAATGAGAGATTGGGGGAATGAGAGATTGGGGGAATGAGAGATTGGGGGAATGAGAGATTGGGGGAATGAGAGATTGGGGGAATGAGAGATTGGGGGAATGAGAGATTGGGGGAATGAGAGATTGGGGGAATGAGAGATTGGGGGAATGAGAGATTGGGGGAATGTGAGATTGGGGGAATGAGAGATTGGGGGAATGTGAGATTGGGGGAATGAGAGATTGGGGGAATGAGAGATTGGGGGAATGAGAGATTGGGGGAATGAGAGATTGGGGGAATGAGAGATTGGGGGAATGTGAGATTGGGGGAATGAGAGATTGGGGGAATGTGAGATTGGGGGAATGAGAGATTGGGGGAATGAGAGATTGGGGGAATGTAGAGATTGGGGGAATGAGAGATTGGGGGAATGTGAGATTGGGGGAATGAGAGATTGGGGGAATGAGAGATTGGGGGAATGAGAGATTGGGGGAATGAGAGATTGGGGGAATGAGAGATTGGGGAATGAGAGATTGGGGGAATGAGAGATTGGGGGAATGAGAGATTGGGGGAATGTGAGATTGGGGGAATGAGAGATTGGGGGAATGAGAGATTGGGGGAATGAGAGATTGGGGGAATGAGAGATTGGGGGAATGAGAGATTGGGGGAATGAGAGATTGGGGGAATGAGAGATTGGGGGAATGAGAGATTGGGGGAATGTGAGATTGGGGAATGAGAGATTGGGGAATGAGAGATTGGGGGAATGAGAGATTGGGGGAATGAGAGATTGGGGGAATGAGAGATTGGGGGAATGAGAGATTGGGGGAATGAGAGAT